AGAGTAATTTTTATATTTTTAAATTTATAGTTTTTTCTCTTAAACTTCCACAATTGAATGTGCGGATGGTACAAGTAACTGTATTCTCACTAGCTGTAACTTAATTCATGTATATATACCAGAAAACGGCATATCATGCTCTCTGAGGTCCTGTTTTGTTCCCTGATACTCTGGATGCTAATAGGTGGGTAGTAACATTCTTCAATAAGAGTATGTGACCTAAAAGCGGGCCTTAAGCCGCCTGCCAAGCGGTGGGATTATGGTAAACCACTAAAGACGTGTTAAGTGTAGGAGAGCCATGCTTCGGCACGGATGGGTCAGCTCGACCGGAGTGATACCACAGTCTCACAGGAAACCGACGTGAAACAACGCCTGCATTGTGTTTCGTCATGTGACTCCCACGTCCCCAATCTCCCCAATCCCTGAATCCTCAACAATCCTCAAATTCCTAATCCCCAAAATGCCGACAGCGCACTTGTAATGTAACGCCTATAGTATTCGCGACGGCGCACAGTGTGGTATTTGAACGATCTGGGAGGCAAAAATTATTTTGGCGGCTAAAGAGGTTGTAACTATGATATTATGTTAGCATGTAGTATTGTTTTTTATTACAAAGTAAATAATAATGAAAAACGTAATATTTTTGAAAAAAAATTAAAATATTTAATTACAATTAAAAAATTTTCAATATTTAATCTACAAAAATATTTTAAACAGAAATAATTGCATTTTCCTTAAATGTTTTGACACAGATCAGTCAGAAAATGAGTTATCTTCTTGACACAACTCAGAATCATCAGCAGTTCCCTCACTATTCGACTCTGATGCCTCATTACCACCGTGAGATTCTGCATAAGATTCCATCGGAAGCAACATCTCTAGGGTTTCTTTTAAGAATGGTTTACTCTTCTTTCTTGAAATATTCCTCATTCCTGTTATTACAGGATCGGAAGTCAGCAGTAACCTGTTGAGCACATCTTGATTGCAAGACATCCTTGAGAATTTTCTCGAAAAGTTTTGACGAAATAAACGAAAGTGTCTATTGCGTGCCTCCGCAGCCTCTTCTGACAGTTGCCCGATTGGAAGTAAAGCGCGCTTAATTACATCAGGACCATGGATCAATAATTTATGGGGTCATAGGACACCATGAATAAAGCTGCACATACAGTTCTGCTGTTTTCTTTGTGTAGCTATCAAATTTCTCCAAATTGATTTTATGCCCACTTGATATTGTTTCTAAAATCACTTTAGTTTTTTGCCTCACCTCAGTTTTTTGCCTTTTGCTTCTTTCACCTGATTCTTCGAATAATTTTTTCGGACGCCCCGGCCGGCTAGTTACTTTTGGAATCGTAAATGTACCTCTCAACCAATCTTGATTCCTTTTAATGAAAATTTGCTCTTTATTATATGCCGCAGCCCATCTAGATTTCATTTCGGACTTGAAGCGTGAGAAATTTTGCTTAATATCCTTAATTTGGTCAGCAGTGTAATCATCATAACCAATGAGATAATTTTCGATGAAATCCAATTTTTCATTGATATTCGGCAAATTTTGTCGCTGCATCAACTCATATAACTCCAATCGAGTCATGATTTTGACATTGGACGGCCCTACAATAAATAAATTTTCTAAAGATACAAAAAATAATATGTATGAAATAAATAACATTTTCACATTAAAAAGTTTGGACACCCTGTTTTCCAAAAATCAAGTGATTCCGTGACCGTTTTAAACGAAATCTTATACGTCAATGATCAAAGTTTGTTGTACATTCTTTTATTTTGCCGGGAAACCCCGGGAAGTATTACTTACTATCCTCGATATTTCAAAATATATGCAAATTATGATATTGTAAAAGGGTTACGTAAATAATATTGTCCAACAGTCATAAAGTAATCGACCCTGTTAAAAATATTTGTTAAGTGTAGACACTAACCTGCCATAAAATAATACATATCACTTCACTTGAAATTATAATCCAAAACAAAATAATTGACTATATAAGTAAACGATTTTTTTAAATAAAACACAAGAAAAATATTTCTTAGATGACAACGAAATTCCGACTGACTACACAAGTAAATTTTTGCAAATAAGATGAAAATAATGACAGTTTGAGGTGCATTGGTAAGTAAACATTTACGAGATACTTTATACTTCTACCCACATTAAGTTTTGTAAAATGGACTTATTGCCTCCCAGATCGTTCAAATACCACACTGTGCGGCGACGCCAATTGCTTACCATCAGGTAATCCGTCTGCTCGTTTACTGGCTTATCACATAAAAACATCTAGGTAAAGACGGAATTATTCACTAGTAGACATCTTTCGACTAATAATAATAATGATGATGATGACTCTAGAATTCATGCGCCATAAGGCATAGAGTCAGTTGTCCTATGTCAGAATGTATTTTTTTATTTTTTTTATTTACAGAAAGTTGTGAAGATCTTTAGACTTTACTTCTACTACGCTCTGTTCATGTGGGCTGTGACTATGATGGCAGCAGTGGTCGCAACTGGTTTACTCTCTGTCACCTTGTACTTAAGAAAAGATTCCAGTCGTGAAATTATCATCTTTACCTTGAATATCGTAGGATTCGCGCTGTCCATTGGTATGTACTACATCTAATGTACCATTAAGAGCTGTTTTTAATTGGCCCAGTCGTTCCTGAGATAAGTGCATTCAAACAAACAAAGTCTTCAGCGTTAACAATAGCTTTCAATAATAGCATAAGAGTATAATTAATAAAAGTCAACGAATTGCCTTACAAAAGGGTAATTTCCTAAATTTTACTTTAATGTCCGTCTGGTAGATTGTTTTAAAACTTTAGACACGTATTTTTTTTTTCTCACAAAATTAAATATTTCCGACGATATATTAATTTGAAATATCGTGTGACGTCACAGCGTGCCACGTTTTGTAGCACGTTATGACATAATGACCTCCCACTCCTAAACTTAGCGTCATTTTATCTAAGTATTGCAACTTAATACGAGAAAATAAAAAATACGTGTCTAATACTTTTTCATTATCTAATTGACGGACTAATTAGATTTTTAATTTTGATACCCTGGAACCTACCCAATTAATCTTATACTATTATGGAAGAGTTTGTTTGAACACGCTAATCTCCGTAACTACAAGTCTGATTTGAATAATTCTTTTTGAGTTGGATAGCGCATTTATAGAGGATGGCTATAGGCTATAAAACATCACACTACGACCCATAGGAGCTAATCAGAGCGTGTGAAACCGCGCGGAAGTAGCTAGTGTCGCATAAATGTTACGGGATGTACGAGCGGCCCGACTCTGATTCGCATTAGGATTTATTTTCATATAGATGTAAATTAAATAATTCTAATTTCTCATTTCAGCCATCCAGACTTTCCTGCTTCTGGCTCTGCGGAGTGAAATCATCAAGCTTCGAAGTAACTGTCCGTATAGATTCGTTAAGGATGACAATGAGCCTGAAGGTACAATCACTCCCGTTAGCCAAACTATAGATATCACATCATCTATCAGTACGGAGCCTATACATGAAAAAATGGCATTTTAGAGGAAAATTAATGTTTTAGACCAGAAGCTTTTGACACATCAACGATAAATTAAACTGTCAAACACCAAGCGGTCACCGGTGACCGCAACCTATTGTTCTATAATTGTGTCTAAAAAACCGGTACTCGACGAGTTAAAACGTATCCAGAACTTCTTGGTCGTTTGTAATGATAAATTAAAAAAAGGAATTGATATGTGTTGAATAATTAGAGGACTGACGTAACTGTTCGAGGGAGATCGACTAGTTTCATGCCACACTCGAATTCAGACCTTATTAAAGACGTCGAGGGTACGTTTTTGTTTAGCATGGTGGTCTAAAGGCTAAAAGTATAGTCAACCATTAAGTAAGTTAAGCAAAAAGAAGTTATTTTTTTTATTTTTACTTTCGGACCCAGTCTGATTTGAATTTCAATTAATTTAATCATCTGAACATGCCTTTTTATAGAAAGAAAAATAGTACATTATATTATAGACCTTTATTCTTACATGATAAGATTGACTATTCCTCGTTAAGTGCCTACATAAATGTACATTATTTTGCAAATATTGTGCCTTAGTCGCAAAGTAGGTATGTGCTAATTATAAATTAAACATGTGTTTTTACTAGGTTAATAATTGTATAAATAATTAAATATGTATTTTTTATATGTTGTTATTTACAAGTTAATATTAAGGTGCGTCTAGATTTCACGAATGCTTGCTTATAGCGGCTAGTGAAAAATAGTTAGTAAAAATTGTATTGCGCTTCATTAAATAAGTAAATAAAAATTGAATTAAATTGTATTTTCAAAATGGCGGGCTTTGTGAGAAAACTTGATGTTAAGATGAGATCAATTATTATAATTATGCAAGTACATAATACCTATTATTTTATATTCAACTAGCGACCCGCCCCGGCTTCGCACGGGTGCAATATGCATGTATTATACATACAAACCTTCCTCAAAATCCGTTGCGTTCTTTTAAAGATCTAAGCATACATACGGACATACAGCGAAAGCGACTTTGTTTTATACTATGTATTGATATGGAGTCGCGGTTTCTATTTTTTAAGGATTTTACTGTTTAATTTATTTTCAAGTGCCATAATGTCTTTATAGACACTGATATAGACACAAATCTGTGGTATATATAGGGTGGAATTTTGTAGTGCCACCAGGGGGCATACTCTTGAATCCAATTCCGATCGATCGACATCAGTATTGTAAAATTTCGTACTCTTGAGTTGTAACGCTAGCGCCCATTGCATAGAACCTAACGGGTAACCGGGGCTCCGGCTCGACGTGCAGGAGAAGGAACGGGGTGGTTTTTAGTCAGTAAGAGTCTGACACTCCCTCCCGCCTCACCCAGGCGGGAGCAGTCATTCGATGACTTTCCCCCCTTAAAAAAAAAAAGCGCCCATTGCATACATAATTGCGTGGATATTGATTGAACTAAATGGTATTGAGTTTGGCTTTATAGTCCGTACTCTGAATGATATTTCAACAGCTACGATACTGTATAGTTTTGACATTGAATAATTATTGAGATTTTATTGGATTGAAATTGCATTGACATTGCGATTGGTTTCAAGAGTAAGCGCCCTGAACGGGAAGTAGATGAAATCTGTCTAACAAACTTCATGAATTTAATTAAAGTAAAACAATGAAAGATTGATGCAATCAAAGTACAGGGTGCAAACTTTGACAAATTTTAATCGGTTCGATTACCGTGTGAGGCAAGCTTATTTTTAAAAATCGTTGCTTGCAGTTTTATTTCTTTACAAAAATAAAGTAATGTATTCTTCGAGTAAAATTTTCTATCTAAAGTATTAAGAGTACTTCCCCTTCAGGTGGCATTACGAAATTCCACCCTGTTTATACCAACACATCAAGCTACTACAGATTTGTTGGATATATAAACTTTATATCTTTGTATTAGAGTTGAAAATACGGCAGATGAGAGCAAGTTAGCTTGTTTGTATCGTATGTAAAAATCAAATGTAAAACGTTGTCTGGATACTTAATGCTTATAGTGTTTGTATGATTGTACTGTGTTCAATTAATTGTAATATTTTATAAATGTTCATATTTTCACAGGATTTTTGTCAATAGCTTGTGTATTAAAGAAATGTTACCTAAATATATGTTCGTACAACTGTTAACAAATGGATTTTTTTTTGGTAGGTATATCCGTTCGCAAATGTATCGTTTATTTGTCTAATAAAGAATTGAGTACTTTCCTTAATCAAAAATAAATTATTTGGATTGTTCAATACAATAAAATATTAAACAATAATCACGCTTCCTTTAAACTGTCAAACACCAAGCGGTCACCGGTGACCACAACCTATTGTTCTATAATTGTGTCTATAATGACGGTACTCAAAGGGTTGATTGATTTTATGACCAACTTAATTTTAGTATTTTTCCAGCAAAATTTTAAGAAATAACTACGCTGTTTTTAGCTAAAAAACGTGACGTCACAATACACAATCGCGTACAAAATTCATAGAAAACTGTCGTTTTTGACAGTTCGAAAAAAGTATTGAATGTGATTAGTTGTCAAATACCGTATTAGCTAGTCTCACACCATTGGATATTCAAATTTTGGCAGCTACTGTTTGGACAAACTTACCTCATTAGCACAACACTGTATTGGAGACTTAGTTGCCATTCAAGAAGAAAAAAAGAAGTAACATCAGAGGCATTAGTACGAGTTTCATTTACGTATAAAGTATTCGAAACGAGTACGCGTTCTACGTTCTGATTGGCCGGCGCCAGAGAAACAACCAATCACAGCGCCGAAAGCGTACTCGTTTCGAATACTTTAAACGTAAAACAAACTCGTACCTGTGGGGAAAATAAACGATAGACCTCATTGTTATGAATAGTGACTAGACAGTCAAACCAAAAATGTCGTAATGCCTAATTGATTGTTGTGTTGATAATATATACTAATACTAATAATACATTTATCTCTACCTAAATTATGAACTAGCCGCTGAGGACTTAACCGGTTGCCGGGGCTTCCACTCGAAGGGCAGGAGTAGGAACGGGGTGGTTTTAAGTCAGTAAGAGTCTGACACTCCCTCCCGGCTCAACCAGGCGGGAGAAGTCATTGAATGATCCCTCCCCCCTTATAAAAAACTATGACCTAATTACATATTAGCATTTGCTCGAAACTGCTTTACAGTACTTCTTTCCTAGTTGACAAAATTAATTGTGGGAGAGCAATGCTTCGGCACGAATGGGCCGGCTCGACCGGAGTGATACCTCGACCTCCGTTTGCCGTGTTAATGAGATTACGGGAGATCCCATACGGTGGTAAGCGATGATGCGGCCTACGAACACTGGAAAATATCTACATAAACAACCTCTTCATTTAGGCCACCCAGGTACTTTTAGTATACTCTTCAGAAAACACAGATTCTTGGAAAGTATTCCGCTACTTAGCAGTTCCCACAAGGAACCTAGTCTACTTAATCTACTGTCATTGTGGTTTACGGGTGTCCACGGTCTCCGCCGCCATCGGGTGACCGATCTGCATGTCTGCCTGCCTCAGTATCCTATTAGAGCTACCTAGCTATATACTAATAGCCTTGTTGATTTGACATTGAGAGTCGGCAGGTTTGTTATGAGAAATTGAGAGAAATAAAGTAAATTAACTAAAAATCGCAGGTCGCTCACGTGAATATACTGAGAAATGCTCTACGGTAGGCTGCGCGACATCGCCACGACCGCGCACGCTGTTCATGAGGAAGAACCCCTCTGTGGTTCGAAACTAGTAGAGCTTTTCTCAATAAATTCACGTGAGTAACCCGCGATTTTTATTTAATATAGTATGTCTCACGATAGTTATTACAGAAAAAAAGTACTTAACAGGGTATAAAGATTCTACAACTTTTGAGTGTTTTATGTTTATTTCCTGCATACTATTTCGAATCGAATGTGTCGCATCGGTAAGTACAAAATTGATTAATTGGACTCTCGACTTTATGCCAATACGATAAAGTTAAAGATGTAATAGAGAAATTTGATAAAAAAGAGGATAGGTGGACCTGAGCACCATCCGTACATACCTACCTACATAGATACGTCTTATACTTATAAGATTAATTTATCAAAAGGGAAAACCAAGTGAAATGATTCTTTTTCGAGACTGGCTAACGGCCAATGCAGGAACGGTATGTCAATTCTTGAACACCAGTACATAAAGAAAACACATTGGCAGTTTTATCATTGCGCAAATACACTCAGTGTGGAACTGTGTATTGGCTCGTATTTGATACCAATATTTTTTTATTGAAATGAGTTATAAGGAGTATTTAGTGTATACAAAATGCTGTTTTTGTATTCCACTACGATATGGCCTGCTTACATGGGCATACATGAAATTGGTGAGTGTTGTTTTTGTCATTTTGCCAGCTTAGGTACCTATACATGCATATATTTAGTGTTTATCATGTACCTATAGGTAGGAAAGTATAATGTAGTTATTCATACACACTATTATGACACTAATATTCATATAATGACTCGCGCGCATTCTCGCGTTTCCGCGCGTATTCGTGCGCTGAGTAAAAATCTAAATTGATCTTTAATTCTACTTACTTATTGTTCATTTCCAGATTTCTATTATCATTTTATCAACTGTGTTGGTGAAAATACTGAAGGAAGCGACCAGCAAGAATGAGGCTTGGTACATTCGCGTATTACTGGTACTCTTATTGGTTGAATTTTGTTTGACTTTTATGTTCGTCATCGCAGGACACAAGGTAAGATTTTTACTCGAGCACTAACGATTGCATTATCCAAATTCATAATTAGATGCCTATGTACATAGGCACTATCATTATTGTCATTTCGAAACAAATGTTAAATGAGCAGTCATTTAGTTTGTAAGTTCGAAATGAGGTTCGAATCTCGACTTAGATTAGACTCGATTGAGGTAGGTTTATACTTATATACCTAATATCGATCTTTGGGATCGACATTAGGTCTAGGTATGTAAAAATATTATTATATAACATTTTACTTATGAATCTACGCTACGTGCTTTGCTACGAAATGTCAGGACTACGCTGCTACGTGTCGCGTAGTCTAAACAAGTGTAGGTACTTACTACGTATAGGTTTTGGTCAAACCCTTGTTAAATAGTTACGTGAGTAAGCCGAAAAACATAATAATTAATTTATTATGTCTCACGAAGGTTATAATATAAACCATAGCAAACAAGACATACTAAATTAACGGCGGGTTACTCACGTGAAACTATTGAGAAATGCTCTACTAATTTCGAGCCACAGAGGCACTTCATCATGAGCAGCGTGGTCTACATCGCTACCGACACTAATAGAGCTTTTCTCAATATTGTCAGTGAGTAACCCGCGATTTTTTAATTAATATAGCAAACCATTTAATGTAATAGGATTTCTATTGCGCGTCGTAGGCTATGTTGCAATCAGGATGAATTTTTGTTTCCTTACAATACAATAGGTACCTATATGGTATACATACATCGCGGGCGTGTAGACGGTGAGCATGGGTGCCTCGCCGCCCAACCAGAACCAGACCCGAGCGTACAGCGCATCGCGCGCAAAGAGCCATCAAACCACCACGGATGGGGCCCAATAAGGCTGATGCCGATACGAAGCCGCGGAAAACCTAACGGGTTACCGGGGCTCCGGCTCGAAGTGCAGAAGGAGGAAAGGGGTGGTTTTTAGTCAGTAAGAGTCTGACACTCCCTCCCGCCTCACCCAGGCGGGAGCAGTTATTCGATGATTTTCCCCCTTAAAAAATAAACATATGGTATTCATATCCTACCTACCTACGTTTTATTTTTGTTTCAGAAAAACCTAAGGTTGATGCGTATTTACTATAGCTATTGTATGATTATGTTGGTGGTCAACGCCGTATTGATGATGCTCATCTTGAAACTTATAACGACTATGTTCTATTCTCAGACACAGACAGCTCTGTTATTGATCTTTAAGTTCTTTTGTAACCTTGGTAAGTATCAAAGGGTTTCAGATAGATTATTCTACGCGTATACGGTCACTTCAGGCACCATTGTGCCCGGTCATCAGTATCCAATGTCATTTTAAACTTTGTTGTCTTGCAGTAACGTTAAAAATCAAATGCAAAAAATGTACACAGCTGGTGGCTGCTACTAAAACTGACTGTATACCACATTCAAAAATACAAGCATAATAATTTTAATTACCTAGTTATTTACCGTTTCAGTATTACAATGCTACTTCATACTTCTGTTGAGAAGCGAAATCATTAAATTGCAAAACTTGAACGAGTCAAATGTCTCGACCAATATGCCGGAGACTCAGGCTGGTGGTGAGATTACCATCATGAGTGTATGATATACAGGACCCTCGAAAATGATAAGACTTTATATCTAGTCAACATAATAAGATATAGGTACTTGCGCGCGGTCACCCGCTCTGCTCGGCTCCTGTGCGGTAGCGTGATGTTTTATAACCTATGGCCTTCCTGGATAAGTGGACTAGACAACGCAAAAAGGATTTTTTAAATCAGATCATTAGTTCCTGAGATTAGCGCGTTCAAACAAACGAACTCTTCAGCTTTATGTATATAACTAGCTGTTGCCCGCGACTTCGTCCGCGTAGATTAATGAATAATGACAAAATTAACCAGAATCAATTCAGTGCCCAAGTAAGATTTACCTATTTTGAAATGATTTATCGTAGTTTCAATAAATAAATAATCCCGCAGGGATCTTACCAGTACAGTGCCCGATCACGTAAGGTTTGAGTAATAAAAACTATTCTATCGACTATTGTTGTACCGAATCTCTCTAGAATAAGTTCAGTGGTTAAGAGTTAGAGAGTCCTGGGGCATTGACGCATAGTTCCCGTTCTCGTGAGACATCTGTGAAAAAACTATCATACGTTACCCAGGTCCCAAATCATCGTTTTACCGAATGTAATTCAAAAAGATTCAATGATTCTAAATTCAACGGCTAAGAAGATTTATACAAACTCTCATTCCCTATTTTATCCCCTTAGGGGTGGAATTTATCAAAATCCTTTCTAAAGAGATACCTATGTCATAGTAACTTTATGCATGCAAAGTCTCAGCCCGATCAATTTAAAACTGGCAAAGTATCATACTTTGGGGTGAGAATGTTCAAAAACCTTTCTAAAGGGACGTTTACGTCATAATATCCATCTGCACGCCGAATTTCAACCCGATCGGTGTAAAACTGACAAAGCCTCACACAAACGTTCATCCCCTATTTTACCCCCTTGGTGGAAATTATCAAAATCCTTTCAAAGCGGATGCTTACGTCATAACATCTATCTGCATGCCAAATTACAACCCGATCGGTTTAAAACTGACAAAGTCTCATACAAACTTTCATCCCCTATTTTACCCCCATTGGGGGTGGAAATTATCAAAATCCTTTCACATCGGATGCTTACGTCATAACATCTATCTGCATGCCAAATTTCAACCCGATCAGTTAAAAACTGACAAAGTTTCATACAAACTTTCATCCCCTTTTTTACCCCCTTGGGGGTGGAAATTATCAAAATCCTTTCTTAGCGAATGCCTACGTCATAACATCTATCTGTATGCCAAATTTTAGCCCAATCTGTCCAGCAGTTTGGGCTATGAGTTAATAGATCACTATGTCAGTCAGTCAATCAGTCAGTCAGTCAATCACCTTTGAATTTTATATATATAGATAACTAGCTACTTCCGCGCGGCTTCACACGCTCTGCTCATCTCCTATTGGTCGTAGCGTGATGTTTTATTTGCCTATAGCCATCCTCGATAAATGCGCTATCCAACACAAAAAGAATTATTCAAATCAGACTTGTAGTTACGGAGATTAGCGCGTTCAAACAAACGAACTCTTCAGCTTTATGTAATAGTATATAATTATAAGAGTATAAGATGAATTATGTAAGATTATCGATAATGACCACTTCGGCACGTAAATAGAATAAAGTAATGTAGAGTTTTCAACTGAATCTAGACTGATATTTTTATGTTTAGGTTAGGATAGTACATAAATATTTTATTCAAATGTGCCTTATATTGTAACTAAAGAAATAAATGATTTGTATATAATTTTGATTTTATATTATAGCCAAATGAATCCAATCTACTGCCTCGTTGGCCGAGTAGTCGCAAGTGCCACTGCCGGGCAAGGAGTCTCGGGTTCGATTACCGGGTCGAGCAAAATAATACTGGGTTTTAAAAAAAATCTCAATAACTAGTAGCACGTAGTCTGGAATTGTGGTATATGGCAATAGGCTTACCCCCTGTTACGTGGGACTCATAACATAAATAGTGAAAAGTGGGTATTACATTGTCCAGTAGCATAATATGCACCTCTACCTGCCCCTTAGAGGATAAATGGCATGATGTTATGTTATGTTATGAATCCAATCTAATCGTATAGTGCCTTGCTCCCTACACCTTGCCACAGATAAAATAAAAGATTATTTTTTAATATTTCTGTGACACTTCAATCCACAATCCCCCAAAAGGCCGGCAACGCACTTGTAACACATCTGGTGTTGCGATTGTCTATGAGCGGCACTGATTGCTGACCATCAATTGATCTGCTAGCTCGTTTGCCGGGTTATCCCTTAAGAAAACTTAAATATTTTATGGCTGGTATGGCCTTGACTGAAAGGTAGAGGTGAATACAAAAGAGGGGTGAGCAGATAGGTATATCTACTATAAAACATATCCCAGTAGGTACCCATTCACACCTCTTCCATCTCTATTCATCTCTCGATTCCTATTTACCACTTTAATTATTTTTGCTTTAAAAACAAATGTAATTTTAATTTAATGCACTTAAAACAAATAAAAGTTGAACAACATTGATGCTTTCATTTCTCCTTAAATTATCTGCGGTCCATGTCGTTATCTGAATGTAAGTAGTAAAGGTTAAGTCAATGCATAATTACAAAATAATATGTTTATTACTACTGGGGAACATAGATCTATACATTCAGTTTAACAGCTACAACTGGCTGGAACTAATGTGCGCATAGTCTAAAAATTCTTTTTTTTTCTCTCCGTGATTTGTATTTTTTTTATTTTTTGTAAGAAGGTTTTATTAGCTGTCTGTTTTCAAAATGCGAACGGAGGTGCCAGCATTTAAACGATGCTGTTTTTGTGTACCGCTACGGTATGGTCTGCTTACATGGGCGTATATAAAATTGGTGAGTGTTATTGCTATTTATACTACTTTCATTAATTACTTACCTAAATTCCTAAACAGTATCATGACTTTGTATCCTGTGAAGAAGTAAGTAAGACATTATAATTAGTACCTATGGTCCATGTTCTTACGCGCTAGAATGCATCATTGGTCGAAGGGATGTAAGAAAATCAAGTATAAGGTCATGGGTTCCTGTCCATAACAACATTTTTTTTTATCTGGTTTTAGGGAATTGTAAATACAAAGATTATGGCAATAGGCTCACCCGCTATTACATGGGACACATAGCATAAATAGTAAAAAGTTTGTGTTATATTGTACAGTCGCATTAAGTGTCCTAATGTGCACCTTTGCTTCTTCGAGGACAAAAAGCGTGACAATTTGTAATGAAAATTAAAGCTCTAAGGCCCAATAGGGCCGATGCCGATTCGGAGTCGCGGAGAACCTAACGGGTTACCGGGGCTCCGACTCGACGTGCAGGAGAAGGAACGGGGTGATTTTTAGTCAGTAAGAGTCTGACACTCCCTCCCCGCCTCACCCAGGCGGGAGCAGTCATTCGATGATTTTCCCCACTTAAAAAAAAGTCTAATACATACATAGGTACATACATAACTTCACGCTTGCCTCCCATTGGGGTAGGCAGAGACTATTGCCGATTGCTCTGAGTCTAAAGTTATTATTAATCCTTTTTCAGGTGTCACTGGCCTTTTTAGCAATCTTCTTTACGATGCACTTGTACTACGTGATCAGGAGGTATACAATGACCTCATATTCAAGAGATCTGCACAACATTGCAGTCATAGGTGTGTTGTTGGCAATCTTACTAATAGAATTCTGTTTCACTCTCTCGTTCATCGTTGGAGGACATATGGTAAGATTTTTGTTTGTAAACTAATAATAATAGGTACTTAGTTGTTAACTTATTATCATCGACTTATTTCTTAACCGTTAAATATTCATAAAAGCATAATTTTATCTGAAATGTGATGCTATTTAAATTGTAACACTTAATAATATGTAATTATTCTATTCTGTTTGTTTCTTATGACTTATTTCTATTGATTTTATTATTTCATTGTTATTGACATTATTAGTGCATCTTGACATTTATTTTACTTATGAATTTATTGCAAAATTAATTAATATTTGTACACCAGTCATGGTTAAGCATGTTGATACAAACAATACTGTACATCTATAGTAAACATTCTTTTTTGCATGTATTATGTACCTACACATGTTTTGGCAAATAAAATGATCTTTATCTTTATCTGGGTACTTACCCCGCGCTTACGGCGCCCCCTAACTGCATTTCAATTACAGTCGAAAACATATTAATAACTACCTCTTGTTGGTGCTCGCGTTACACTATACTAATTATTTTATAAGAGCTATCTTGTAATTTAAATTTATTTATTAGGAACTTAGGCAGTGTATAGCAATGATAGTAAAAATACCTAAATGTCGTTGCCTAAAATTCTAAATATATTTAGGAACCCCAACAATAATATCTAACATAGCCTATAAAAGGCGGCGCAGACGCTGGTGGGGGTCATTTGCTCGTCAGCTCTCGTGGAGGTCGGTAGCAGTCGGCGCGATTTGTGAGTGTTTTTGTATTAGTAAGAGTGCTATAAGTCTTGTGAGTACATACTTTTCCATTATTGTGATTTTGCTTGGTGTTTTGATTTTGTACCTAGACGAAGTTAAATGCCGTGTAAATTAGTTTTAAGAGGTTATAATTTTTGTTTAAATATAAAACTCTGTTTTAATGAATAAATTTTGTTTTTTTTAAGGGATTTTGTTTTAGAAACCTAATTATATAATATCTAAAAATTAAAATAATATATTAATATAAATAAATTCTAAGTAATAAATTGGTGCCTTTCTTTTTTCTGGCAGCAGTCGATGATTTGTTATATGTTAGATGTGGACAATTTATTTTGGTGGTCACACAATTTATTTGGGCTTTTTTTTGCTTGACAGCGTAACGTACTAACGACTCGAACCTACTTTGTCATTTGTTTTTAATTCCATTATTAAGTTGTTTGAGATGCTTGTAACATTCTTTACATTTATTTATTTCTTACTTCTGTTTCAGAAAAACGTTAAACTCATGCGTGTGTTCTACATCTATAATATCGTGATGTGGGTGCTCACCCTCGTTCTAATTATGATCCTGGTAGTGTTATTGCTAAGGAAAATGGATCCATCTGATGTCTTTTCCTACTACTCCTGGAAGTTCCTCGTTACTACTGCTAACTTCTTTTTCACTTTGTGTACGTATCATAAATGCTTTTTTGGGATAAGCAGGGAAACGAGCAGATTGATCACCTGATGGTAAGCAATCAGCGCAGTCCGTGAACACCCGGACCACCAGAGGCGTTACAATTGCGGTGTATCTATTATAGGGATTAAGAATTTGAGGATTGTTGGGGATTCAGGTATTAGGGAGATTGGAGAGACGAGTAATTGGGCCTCCGATAACCTCACACGACGAAATACAACACAAGCCTTGTGTTATTTACACAGAGTTTTGAACAACGGTCCTAGGTACCAATGTATCTATGTATTTATTAGTATCCAATAGTGGTAATTCCGAATTCCTACATAGTGTGACATATATACATACATAACTTCACGCCTGTCTCCCATGGGGGTAGACAGAGACTAGGGAACGCCAATTACTACGATTCCTACATACCTCTTTCGCTTCATCAAAGTCAAAGTCAAAGTCAAAATCATTTATTTCAATTAGACCAGGAAGGCACTTTTGAATGTCAAAACAAAATATTTAAATATTAAATAATAAGAAAAAATGTCAGTCTGTAGGTCAGTCCTCTAGTGAAGCTATTTGCTCGTTCCAAAGTGTACATTCCTATGGAGAAGAACGAGCAAGAAACTTCTCCATCAACTGTCATCAATCTTTTCATAGTGTGAATTTCCTGCTAACCTTTGGCTAAACGCTCGCACTTTGATATTGTACTTTGAATAACGAAAAAAGATATAAAAACTTTAAGTTCGTAGGACGTGTACATTAGAATATAAATGATCTCACACTAATAATGGTCGCATAATAAAATAATATTTCTCTTTTCAGTGGTACAAGTCTACTTTATGCTCCTATTGAGAAGTGAGATCTTAAAACTTGAGGGCAAGTACGGGTTCAGCTTCGTGAACAATGCGGCTGAGGGAGAGTGTACAATTAGAGAAGGCACTCAAATAGACGAAGCCTGGAAGACAACAGACAATCAAGAAGAAAATAAGACTGGGCCAGGTGCGGTAGATGAAGAAGGAAAATCGTCTGAACAGGCAATGCGGTACCCCTAGTAATGGTGACACTGTATTCCGGCCCTGGGCTCTGTCTGCTATTTTTAAAATTGTTGTCATTCCAACACGGCCGCATTGTCATTTTGCTATAAGTTCCTAATCTGCTAAATTCATAATAGTCGATAATTGATCAATCAATAGTCTCGGAATGGAATTGTAGTAGAATGACATTGCCTTATTGCCATTATTATGAAACTTTGTAGTAGACATAATTTTCGATAATCTACTACTAAATTTGAATATCTATTCATGTCAGATGTAGGTAATTTCTATTTTATTTTACAAAAATATCTATCAGTGTTATAGGTATGCAATCTGAAGTATTTGTCATTACGCATGCGATTACCATTTCATGTCATTACTTTCAGTGGTTGACCATTGGTCAAGTCAAGTCATAATGACGCCATTACATTAGTAGATTACCAAACTTGTCAAAATCAACAATTTCGAAATCAATGATTAATAATTCTGATACTATTGTAATAGCAGACTTGAGGCCCAGTTGGCTGACACCATTACAAAGCCGTCTATGTAGTACAGTATTTTTGACAATGTGCTAAAATGAACAGGGTACGCATTTACCAACATGTTAAGTCGCTCATAGAAGCTAGTTTGGTGTATACTATTTTTATGAGTTTTTAATAAAGTTTGGTACGTTTCAGTACTACTTAAAGTGAATTGAGTTGTTTATTATAATTTCGATTATTATGAGACTTACCAGGCACGATATGAGAAAGATGAATATCAAGTTGGTGAATTAAAACTACCATAAATTTTGTATTACCTACAAAATTATGGGCATGAGCTGTATCATCTTTGTCTGCTGTTAAGCCAGTCATATCAACTATCAAGGAGTGCTGGGTCCCCGACACGGTCCAGCATTAGATCCTCAGATAGGTACCTAATAAAATTAGCTCTCTACTACAATATCTATGAACTTGACGCCTATGAAAAGGATTGGCCACAGAAAGCTTTAAGGCAGTTTAAGAAGAGTGGAAGGAGGGTAGGTGATGCCTCCGTCCACGCATGGTTTATGTATGTTGGACGTGCGATTCAGAGATGCCTCCGTCCACGCATTGGTTATGTGTAACAGACGTGCGATTCAGTGATGCCTCCGTCTGGGTATAGACGTGCCTATAGTGAGAGGTATCGGTCTATAAGAACTATTGCGTTGACGTGCGATTCAGAGATGCCTCCGTCAACCTTAGGCAGAGGGGACGCCTTCTGTCTGATCTGTTCACAGGTGCTGCATGCTGCCCACATTGTTGGAGGGCCGCTACGTACTTATATGAAGATTACGGAAGTACATTAATGAGAGCTCTCACGTATTAGACTTTGAAATTTGCATTAGCACTCTGAAATAGCAGTGCCTTATGTTTCAGATAACGAAGAGTATGATTCAGGTGCAGGTCCATCCTCAGTCTCCCTCAGACCGGGCGAGGAGACAGCCGGACCAGGTGGTGCCTCTTCAGCAGCAGGACCGGCTCTGGTGATAAACGAGCGTCACGAAGATGGCGCCGAGGACGACGCCTCTTCAGGATAGGCCGATTTAGGAACCCCAACAATAATATCTAACATAGCCTATAAAAGGCGGCGCAGACGCTGGTGGGGGTCATTTGCTCGTCAGCTCTCGTGGAGGTCGGTAGCAGTCGGCGCGATTTGTGAGTGTTTTTGTATTAGTAAGAGTGCTATAAGTCTTGTGAGTACATACTTTTCCATTATTGTGATTTTGCTTGGTGTTTTGATTTTGTACCTAGACGAAGTTAAATGCCGTGTAAATTAGTTTTAAGAGGTTATAATTTTTGTTTAAATATAAAACTCTGTTTTAATGAATAAATTTTGTTTTTTTTAAGGGATTTTGTTTTAGAAACCTAATTATATAATATCTAAAAATTAAAATAATATATTAATATAAATAAATTCTAAGTAATAAATTGGTGCCTTTCTTTTTTCTGGCAGCAGTCGATGATTTGTTATATGTTAGATGTGGACAATTTATTTTGGTGGTCACACAATTTATTTGGGCTTTTTTTTGCTTGACAGCGTAACGTACTAACGACTCGAACCTACTTTGTCATTTGTTTTTAATTCCATTATTAAGTTGTTTGAGATGCTTGTAACATTCTTTACATTTATTTATTTCTTACTTCTGTTTCAGAAAAACGTTAAACTCATGCGTGTGTTCTACATCTATAATATCGTGATGTGGGTGCTCACCCTCGTTCTAATTATGATCCTGGTAGTGTTATTGCTAAGGAAAATGGATCCATCTGATGTCTTTTCCTACTACTCCTGGAAGTTCCTCGTTACTACTGCTAACTTCTTTTTCACTTTGTGTACGTATCATAAATGCTTTTTTGGGATAAGCAGGGAAACGAGCAGATTGATCACCTGATGGTAAGCAATCAGCGCAGTCCGTGAACACCCGGACCACCAGAGGCGTTACAATTGCGGTGTATCTATTATAGGGATTAAGAATTTGAGGATTGTTGGGGATTCAGGTATTAGGGAGATTGGAGAGACGAGTAATTGGGCCTCCGATAACCTCACACGACGAAATACAACACAAGCCTTGTGTTATTTACACAGAGTTTTGAACAACGGTCCTAGGTACCAATGTATCTATGTATTTATTAGTATCCAATAGTGGTAATTCCGAATTCCTACATAGTGTGACATATATACATACATAACTTCACGCCTGTCTCCCATGGGGGTAGACAGAGACTAGGGAACGCCAATTACTACGATTCCTACATACCTCTTTCGCTTCATCAAAGTCAAAGTCAAAGTCAAAATCATTTATTTCAATTAGACCAGGAAGGCACTTTTGAATGTCAAAACAAAATATTTAAATATTAAATAATAAGAAAAAATGTCAGTCTGTAGGTCAGTCCTCTAGTGAAGCTATTTGCTCGTTCCAAAGTGTACATTCCTATGGAGAAGAACGAGCAAGAAACTTCTCCATCAACTGTCATCAATCTTTTCATAGTGTGAATTTCCTGCTAACCTTTGGCTAAACGCTCGCACTTTGATATTGTACTTTGAATAACGAAAAAAGATATAAAAACTTTAAGTTCGTAGGACGTGTACATTAGAATATAAATGATCTCACACTAATAATGGTCGCATAATAAAATAATATTTCTCTTTTCAGTGGTACAAGTCTACTTTATGCTCCTATTGAGAAGTGAGATCTTAAAACTTGAGGGCAAGTACGGGTTCAGCTTCGTGAACAATGCGGCTGAGGGAGAGTGTACAATTAGAGAAGGCACTCAAATAGACGAAGCCTGGAAGACAACAGACAATCAAGAAGAAAATAAGACTGGGCCAGGTGCGGTAGATGAAGAAGGAAAATCGTCTGAACAGGCAATGCGGTACCCCTAGTAATGGTGACACTGTATTCCGGCCCTGGGCTCTGTCTGCTATTTTTAAAATTGTTGTCATTCCAACACGGCCGCATTGTCATTTTGCTATAAGTTCCTAATCTGCTAAATTCATAATAGTCGATAATTGATCAATCAATAGTCTCGGAATGGAATTGTAGTAGAATGACATTGCCTTATTGCCATTATTATGAAACTTTGTAGTAGACATAATTTTCGATAATCTACTACTAAATTTGAATATCTATTCATGTCAGATGTAGGTAATTTCTATTTTATTTTACAAAAATATCTATCAGTGTTATAGGTATGCAATCTGAAGTATTTGTCATTACGCATGCGATTACCATTTCATGTCATTACTTTCAGTGGTTGACCATTGGTCAAGTCAAGTCATAATGACGCCATTACATTAGTAGATTACCAAACTTGTCAAAATCAACAATTTCGAAATCAATGATTAATAATTCTGATACTATTGTAATAGCAGACTTGAGGCCCAGTTGGCTGACACCATTACAAAGCCGTCTATGTAGTACAGTATTTTTGACAATGTGCTAAAATGAACAGGGTACGCATTTACCAACATGTTAAGTCGCTCATAGAAGCTAGTTTGGTGTATACTATTTTTATGAGTTTTTAATAAAGTTTGGTACGTTTCAGTACTACTTAAAGTGAATTGAGTTGTTTATTATAATTTCGATTATTATGAGACTTACCAGGCACGATATGAGAAAGATGAATATCAAGTTGGTGAATTAAAACTACCATAAATTTTGTATTACCTACAAAATTATGGGCATGAGCTGTATCATCTTTGTCTGCTGTTAAGCCAGTCATATCAACTATCAAGGAGTGCTGGGTCCCCGACACGGTCCAGCATTAGATCCTCAGATAGGTACCTAATAAAATTAGCTCTCTACTACAATATCTATGAACTTGACGCCTATGAAAAGGATTGGCCACAGAAAGCTTTAAGGCAGTTTAAGAAGAGTGGAAGGAGGGTAGGGGTGGTCTTTGCCGTGCAGAGGGACACCCATGGCTAAAAATAAAATAAAAACTACAATACCTAAACCTCAAACCCTAGATATCATCCACGCCCTCCTTTATACCCATCTGACATCTTCAAGGTACAAATAGGTAACGTAACATTTATTTATATCGCCAAAGCTTGCAACACTATACCCCGAGGGCCTAGGCAAAGACAATATAAAATAACTTTTCATTATCTTTACAAAATTATGTTATGAGTTCCATGAAATACTCTTGACGAAGGTGGGCGTTGATAAAAGATCATACTGGTACCGGACACGATATAACTCGCCTCCGTGCTATTACTAAGAAAACCATATTGTTATCGAAAAACTAACAAACCCCAACATCAAAATTACAACTAATTTACAATAGGTCAAAACAAACAAATTTGTTTTGCATCAAATAAATATGTTTTACAAACTTTTGCTGTTCCTTTAAGTATTTATCTCTAGACCATGTCTTTATCACAAAATAAATTGTAAAGGTTAAGTCAGTACTTGCCATTATTGTGTTCTCTGGCTACTGGGAACATTTTACAAACAACACCGGCCAGTACGAAACCATCAGTTGGCGGGAACTAATGTGCGCATAGTCTACGGATTGTCTTTTTAAGAACATTTTCAAATTGTGATTTTGTTTTTTTTTTTTTATAGAGCACCAATATTAGTTTTTGTTTAAAATGAGTACGGATTTGCCAGTGTGTCAAAGATGCTGTATCTGTGTACCGCTACGGTATGGTTTGCTTACATGGGCATATATTAAATTGGTAAGTGTTAGTGACTTTAAACACGTTCCGGTTTCCGGGTACCCAGCAACCGGACCGTGTAAAAAGGCTCTTATGGTCAATTTGGTAGATACTTCTACGTACACGGTAGTTAGCTGGTGGCATTTATCACAAAACCTACCTATTACTCTTGGGGTATACGTTCTGAAGTGGAGACTATGCTGAGCTCATATAGAAAAACTTGCAAAACAATTAAGTAATAGAGCATATGCTTTACACAGATTGTCTCAAACAATACATATAAACACGTTATTAATTGCGTACTACGGATTAGCTGAATCTATTCTCCGTTACGGGATCATGTTTTCGGGCAATTCAGTGGAATTGGCAACCATTTTTAGGGCACAGAAAAGATGTCTGAGATCAATGTTTACACTTAAAGTTACTGATAGTTGCAGGCCATACTTTGGACAGTATAGGATTCTTACAATGCCATCGTTATACATTCTCGAAATAGTTTTATTTGTTATGTATAATTCTCATTTATTTCCGCGTCTTGAGGATAAAACTCAGCGCAACAGGCGTGATTACACAAAACTTTGTCTTCATCCTTGTAAGACCGCGCTTATGCGCAGAAATGTATTTTGCATGGCACCTATAATATTTAACAAATTGCCAAAATCATGGAGAGAACTAGGTGCCAACCATATACCTTCCTTCCAGCTAGGCAGTGATTCCCTTCCCTAAAAGATCTTAAGGTTAAGCACTGGCGTGCTATTGAAGAGGCATGTGTCTAGCAGTATCTAACTATTTGGGTAGAAAGACTAGGGAGTGTGGGATTCGTTACCTCAGCACCTGTAAGGGGCACCGAGTCCTCTGAAGAGACCTGCTCCGGAACCCCCACGGTGCAACGCCGATTACAGCACATCTTTAGGGGTCCAGCAGTATCTACTATAAAACTGCCTGATGAGGATGAGTTAAAACTATTATTTATTTCCAGGTTTCGGTGACCATTTTGTCACTTTTTATCATGGTGGCACTGTATAACATTGTGAACGTATACCGTGTCTCTATATATCTGCACAATATCATCTTCATCAGTGTGGTATTGAACGTGTTCTTCATTGAAATCGGTTTGACTATTGTGTTTATCGTCGGTGGGCACATGGTAAGACTTTCATTTATTTATTATACTATGTAATAGGGTAGTTGCCAGGGTAAGAAAATTAAAAATCTAATTAGTCCGTTACTTAGATAGTGAAATAATATTAGACACGTATTTTTTATTTTCTCGTTTAAAGTTCCAATACTTAAATAAAATGGAGTTAAGTTTAGGAGTGGGAGGTCGTTACGTGCTACAAAATGTAGCACGTTATGACGTCACACGACATTTCAAATCAATATATCGCCGAAAGCATTTAATTTTGTTAGAAAAGAAAAAATACATGTCTAATGTTTTAAAATAATCTCACAGACGGACATTAAAATAAAATTTAGGAAACTACCCTATACTACCATAATTATTCCATGTTTCTCTAAATTTCTTCTCTGCCAATGTCGATCGATATATCTTTAGATAACAATAAGTCAACATTTTAAATATTATGTTCCAATATTAAAGTAATGACGTGGAAGTCATGTTTTTTCATTTGCCATGGTACTGTGTAGATGGCACTGCAATCGATTTAGGATGCCCTTTGTTCTTACATCACACTACACCGTCGTAAGTCTTCAAATTAACAAATGCTTATGATATTTTTGTTTCAGAAAAATGTAAAACTAATGCGTGTGTTTTACATCTACAATATAGTGTTGCTGGTGATAGCTAGTATCCTAATGTTAGTCGCGGTGTTGGTGCTTATATTCCCAGTAAATCTGCTTATGTACCACACTTGGCAATACATCACCATGTGCGCTAACTTCTTTTTTAGCATCGGTAAGTATCAGGATCACTTGTGTCGCTGGCAAAGGCATGCCTTTCGACCAGCGACACAAGTGTCATATGTTAAATAATCATATCATCAATGTTAAATAAACGCTAATACTTTTTCATAATTCTATCTATCATGAGACATACTAAATTAAGTAAAATCGCGGGTTACTCACTGTGGTTCGAAACTAGTAGAGCTTTTCTCAGTATATTCGCCTGAGTAACCCGCGATTTTACTGAATTTAATACTTTTTCAAAGCATAATTGCATAGCACAGGGCATTATTTCAAAAGTTACAAGATGTTCCAGTTACATAAAGGAAACAGATCTTTAATCTTTTTGGTATTTAGTTAGTCACATACATTTATAGGTATCTAATATCGTGACGCTTGTCTTCCTTTGGGATAGTCAGAGACTGTGGAACGCCGGTGACACATTTACCTTCACATCATCAATTTTAGTTATTAGTTATATCTTAACATTCACATTATATTTTAATTTTTTTTCTCTTAAAAGCTACAGTGTTATATCTATCTAATGCATTGAAAAACAACATAGCAAAAAGTAATCGCGTCTGTCATACATAAACCTAGGACTCCAAAATCCAAACAAGCGGAATATTTAAATTAATGGCGCTCTCCATTTTAATAGACCGTCAAGCCCTTCTAGCTCCTCTGATGCCGCGAGTGTTCATAGGCGGCGCTGATCACTTACCAGCAGTCGATCCGTCTATCTCATAAACATTATTCTCTGATATGATTTGATTATAATTATTTTGATTTGACTTTGCTCATTTTAATTATAGGACTTAACAAGAATTTTAATTACATATTTTATTTTGATTTCAATTTTATTTTGACCTTAATCATTTTATTTTGATTGTAATTGTTTCATTTTGACTTTTATTTTTAATAGTTAATTCGACACAATTCACAAATATGAAAGGAGTAAGGAAAAACATATATATAACCACATAAATATTTACAACTTAAAATTAACTACAACTAAACTATTCAATAAAACGAAAGTAAAAAAAGAATACAACAAAAATTATACCCTTAATTTAAGTAGGCGTCAAAGTATTCGTCCGCATCACTATCACAGGGGAACGTTCCCAGAAGACTGGCAGCATTGCCACGTTGAATGGCAATGCTTATTTTCTATCCGAAGAAATAGCCAGCCCTCTGGTCACGTGTAGAGTAGATAAGCCTATGGGCGATATCTTTAACAGTTAGATTTCGAATATATCGAAATTATAGTTGACATTTATATAATAGGTACATAATACGTAGCTATTTGACGATAAAATGTCAACTTTATTTTAAAAATGGTAACTTTATTTTATCAAATTTTGCTGTGCCCTTACGAGGGCGATAAATGTAACTTAGCTTTAAGCCTATTATAAAACCTTAGTTACTTTATGTAATGCAAATAAATATGAAAATAAGAATCTCGAGACCACAAAATCTAATTTTGCTTTAAGTGTTTTAGAAGACCTAAGGACATAAACTGTCTAGTAAAAATTACATGTTGATTCCAAATTTATTTTTCAGTTACAGAAATCTACTTTATACTTCTAATGAGAAGTGAGATCTTAAAACTTGAGAGCAGGTACGGATTCAGCTTCGTGAACAATGCGGCTGAGGGCGAATGCACAATGAGGGAATGCACTCAAATAGAGGGAGACTGTAAGACAATAGAAGATGAACCAAAGGAGGCGGAATCTGTATCTGAGTAACACAAAAATTAGGCTTAAATACAGAAGAATATAATACTTAAAGTATTATTTAAATAGTACAGTCATCAAGGTAATACTACAATCTGTCAAACACATTTCTCACTCGATGATGATGTAATAAAGTCGAAAATCCAATGAAGAAATTCGACAGTGAGTAGTACAAACGGACATATCTAGTCTTGGCACAGGGCTAAGCAGACATCATCCTTATGTGATCCATTCACAATACGGTCATAATGGTTGTGAGTAGGGCATGACCTATATTACTTCGATACTTGGAAGTTAACCCTTTAAACGTCTTTGATAACAAACATGAAACACATAATGTAGGTAATAATGTAAGTAAGTTAAGTTTCTTAAAATTAAAATTGTTGGTCGTATATTTTATTACTTAGTTTTATTTCTGACTATCCTGTATTTGTATTATTAGCATAAATTAGTTAATTTACGTCCAAAACTGCACGGTTGGTGCGGTGGCTGGGCAACCGGCTGCCATACAACGTGTCGCGGGTTCGATTCCCGTACGGAACAACACTTTGTGTGATCCACAAATTGTTGTTTCGGGTCTGGGTGTCATGTGTATGTGGACTTGTATGTTTGTAAACGCACCCACGACACAGGAGAAAATCCCAGTGTAAAAAAAACACACGGAATTTAGGTACACTGACTACTTATCTACCTATCAACATCTAAGGTACAGGCTCGGCCTAGTTTAGATGTTAGTATTCATAAACTGTGTGTCTTATGTTTTTATTACAATAAACACTTTTATTTTTTTTATTATCCTACCGGTTAGGAAGAGAACTTGAAAACTAAGCCTAATTTAGCTTTAAAACTAATTATAGGTATTTATACGACGTCATATTAACAGTTAGTACTACGTTAGTAATAAAGAAGAAGTTTTGAGTATGGGTTTGTTTACACTGAGTTAACTTCTTAATCCACGTTGATGAAAATCCACAACATTTGTTCATACAATGGTTCATACAATGGCAATAGGCTCACCCCCTATTACATGGGACTCATAACATAAGTAGTGAAAAGTGGGTGTTACATTATACAGTGGCATAATGTGCACCTCTGCCTACCCCTTCGGGGATAAGAGGCGTGATGTTATGTTATGTTATGTTTGTTCATACAAAAGTATTATCTATACATCGGGAATAAGGTCCATAATGGAGCAGGTAAAGAGCGGTCACCGGTGACCACTTGGGGACTCGGCAGTAGACTGCGACATTATGACAATTAAAAAATTGTTCCACCATTGAAATATTTACTTTTCAAGGATTGACAATAGGCAAATTTTTATCCTCATTATCCCAATATTTTAACTAAAATACTGATATACATTCCACGCACAGAACCGTAGCCAAAAAGCTACTAATTGTTATATGGATCAGAAGCGTTTTTGCCCAGATTTATCAAAGTAATTAGGCCATATAAATAAAAGATAGATTACTGAGTAATGTAACCGTTAGTTGTACACAGATAAACAAAATTTTAACCAATTACACTTCAATTATAACTCAATTTGTGTTTGAGATAACCCGAGGTAGATATATGAAATGTTTTGTACATACCATTTGTTTTACTCTAAAAGCTATTCGTAAGTTCTTGGTATATATGTATAAAGATAAGATAATATTTTATGTTGCATTTTCGTTTTATTTACACAATTGTTACATAATAATTATAGTACAAACTACAAGTATGTGACCAATCCAGTTCTGAAAAATGACCATATCACATTATACCGGGACCGGTCTATCATCACTGACAGGACTTTTGTAGCCATTATACCATTAGTCACCATTCCACATGATGAAAACCTCGTGAAAGCTGAAAAAGATAAACAAATAAAATATATTGTTTTGTCTCGCGAGGTTGTCGACATACCTATGGAATGTGGATTCGTCTATCATTGTGCCGATAGTCGTGTCGGCCAATAGGTCAATCCCTAACAGCCTCGACAACCACCTTAGGAGGCTGACGTTAGGCAGATGGCTGGAGGGTTTGATACAGAAGGCACTTCTCTATCAAACCTAAGTGCACAGCGATTGTAAACATGGATTACCTAGTAATTCAACTTATGTTTAGGTTAATAGCCGAAAATGACGTCGTTGTGATTGACCCCGGATCGAACTACATGTTATCTACTGCGTATTATACAGCCTATAAATGCCCACTGCTGAGCAAAGCCTCCTCTCACATGGAGAAGGTTTGAGCATTAATCACCACGCTTGCTCAATGCGGGTTGGCGATTACAGACTTATAATTAGAAATTATAAGCCTAAGGTTTACTCATGATGTATTCCTTCACCGTTTGTCAGGGTGTCTAGATAATCTTAGAAAGTATATATTACTCGAAAAAAGTCACATTGGTACTTGCCGTTAGTAGGTGTCGAACCCGCACCCTCATGCATGAGAAGCGGGCGTCTTAAACCTCCGGGCCATCACGTCACTGAACTCTTCAGCTTTATATAATGAAGTATGTAAGATTTATTTTTTTAAAAACGTTGCCCCACATTACGATTTTCTCCTGTGTCGTGGGTGCGTTTACAAACATACAAGTTCACATACACAATGACACCCAGACCCGAAACAACAATTTGTGGATCACACAAAGTGTTGTTCCGTGCGGGAATCGAACCCGCGACACGTTGCACGGCAGCCGGTTGCCCAGCCACCGCACCAACCGTGCAGTCAAAAAAAAAAGATTATCGATAATGACCACTTCTGGCTTCGGCTCGTAAATAGAATAAAGTAATATCTACAACTATAAATTGAGAAAACCTAATTAGAGTATAATTTATCTAATTCCTTACAACATAAGTAACGACTATTACATCACACTTATATTATAAAATGTGACAGTTTAGTTGTTTGAATGTTTTTCTGTCCATGACGCTGAAACTCCTGAACGGATTTTGATAAAATTGGGTATAGAGGCATGGTATTTTTTTAAGGGGGCAAAATCATCGAATGGCTGCTCCCGCCTGGGTGAGGCGGGAGGGAGTGTCAGTCTCTTACTGACTAAAAACCACCCCGTTCCTACTTCTGTACTTCGAGCCGGTTCTCCGCGACTAGGGCTGACTTAATTGATAGGATACGTTTTATTCCGATTAACCTTTTATCTGTCGGCATATGAGACACAATAGAAAACACATTGAGTCTCGCGTATATCTACGCTCCCGGCGTACCATGGGTTAAATGCTCCCATGGGGTAAGACAGGAATCATATCCTACGCAGACGAAGGCACGGGCAACAGCTACTAATTATATAATAGTTATCTTATAGTTATATAATGTCAAGCTAATCATAAATACACCAACTATTTGCACGTGGGAGAGCCGTGCTTCGGTACCTACGAATGGTGGGCTCGAAAGGAGTGATACCACGGCCTCAACCGGCGTCAAACAACGGCTTGTGCCACCTGTTTATGAGGCTACCGGAGGCCCAAATCCGACGACCGGTGCTGATTACTATTACCGTCAGATGATGAATCTCTATACATAATTTTAAAATATCAAGCTGTGGCGACACATGTTACATGTCAACGGATGACGTCATAAAATCCTACATCGCACATGCAAAGTTTACATGCAAATTAACCCGGATAGAAAATCCCAACGAACAACTGTTGGGCAGAAAGCCCGCCAGGCACGATCAACTCGCCTGGTCGGAGGATCCTCCTTTTCCGATCTTAGGGAACTATACTCTCTGTTCCCTAAAAAGCCAATCACCATTACGTTCTTGTCAGTGCCAGTGCTTCTTTGAACAGAACCTAATGTTTCATAAACGCTATTGTGATCATAAAAACAACATAAATGGTTAGGTATAACGTTGGTAAGTAGTGGCACAGGACATGATTGTTGGGCAGTGGTGTATGTGTATCATCATTGCACAACATCGCTGCTCACTGTCTTTACTACGTAAGTGACTCAATACGTCGCTACAGCAATATGCTACGCGCGTTGCTACGCACTACTTACTACGCTGCATAAGGCGCTACGAAATGTCGGTACTACGCTATGTACGCTACGCCTACGCGCGTTGCTATGAAATAAGAAGTGTAGTTTGTAGTCTCGTATTTTATTTGTCCTGCATCCAATGGCTCTCTAGAACCTCTGTCGTCTAGATACGTATAACTATTTGTACTTCCATATTTGGAATGGTGAAAAAAATATTTGAAGAATTTGGACACGAGTCGCAAATACCACAGAGACCGTTCTGCGTTGAGATAGAGACAGAGTACAATGTTATTTTCTGTTGATAACATGAGCCATATGCAACTGATAAATAAATCGCAAATGGGTATCCTGTAATAATAAATGAAATAGACACCTTTATATATCTCTTCTGGGAATGATAATGTTATGATATGTTTTGTTATTAAAACATAATTCATATTTCATTTCAGTTTTACATTTATGTAAATTACTAGCAGCATGTCCCAGTTTGACGTACAGTTTCCCAATGAATCTGTGTAGTCTTAAGAAAATAACCAATCATGTTAAGAAAATAAAATGACTGAAATTTGGTGCCGTAGTTGTGATTCATGTTACTACGCATATTCAATATATATCGCTGATTCGGTTGTCTTCAGACAAATGCTTAATGCGATTTAAAAAAATCCTGGTTTGGGTGTGTGACGATATTTTATAAGTATGCTCTAAAAAAATGTCGAATCCTACATTCTTCAAGAACCTATGCGAAATTTTCGTCTCAACCACTACAATAGGGTAGATGGTTAAAACATAAGACATGTATTTTTTATTTTGTTACGGAAACGAATAGTTTCGAAGATATATTGATTTGAAATATCGCATGATGAGTATCTACGATTTACACTCTAAAATGACGTAGCTACCTCCCACTCCTAAACTTTGATTCCTTTTATCTGAGTATTGTTTTCTTATAGGTACGACACAATGACACAATACGTGTCTAATAATTTTTCAATACCTAACTGACGGACTAATTAGATTTTAATTTTCATAACCTGCATCATCCCTATTCGGAAGTTTCGGTACAGCGTTCACAGTCACTCAGTATCAAGGAAGAACATACGATTTATCACTTTTTTAATACCTAACGGCAATATAAAGATAATGCAAACAAAACAATAATATTTATTCCTAGTACAACCTGATAAACTCTGTTGTGCTCTCTATTACAAGGTCAAATGTCATTTGTAAAAATATATGATAGCGTTGAACACTGCACCATTTTTATATTTAGTACTGTCTGCAACAATACGCAGACAGTACTAAATATCTTGGAGCCAAGATTTATAAAAATATAAACTGGAAACAGTATATAAGTGTGGGAGAGCCACGAATAGAGCTTTATTATGTTGCTGTTGACTTGATTTGTTCCGCAACCGATTTTATCTATTTATTTTAATGTTATTTTTTTGTTATTGAGCAAAAGCTCAATAACAAAAAATACAGTCATTAAAAAATGACTGTATCCTTTGTTTTGATCTTTGATTATTCTTTTGTTTTGTATTTATATTTTTGTATTCAGGGTTGACTATTGTATAATGAGTGATAACAAAAGTTGTTACTAATGATATAATTCTTATTTATTGTAAATTTGGTAATGTAGAGAAATTAGATAAATTTTAATTTAATTGATATAGTGTTCTCAACTCAACGCATGCTGTGATGTCCTTCAAATGTTGTGCATTAGCAGTAAGATGTTAATTCCTAATTTTAAGTTAATGATAAAAATGTAGCAACAACTGGATGTCCAAATAAATAAATAAATAAATAAAAAAAATAGGCTGGCTCGACCGGAGAGATACCACGGCCTAACAGAAGACCGACGTGAAGCAACGCTTGCGTTGTGTTTCGTCGTGTGAGTGAGGTTACCGGAGGCCCAATACCAATACCCTCCCCTTCCCCACGCACTTGTAACGCCTCTGGTGTTCCAGGTGTCCATGGGCGACGCCGATTGCTTACTATCAGGTGATCCGTCTGCTAGTTTACCGGCTTATGCCATAAAAAAAATAAGTAATCTGAATACTCGCATACCAATTTTCAAAAGTATTAGGAACTTAAAGGACAAATCCACTGTTGGTGGTTGGCACTGCTTGACTAGAGTGCACCGCTCTTTGCCCGCCGCAACGCCGTTGTGTTTTCGAGAACCGGTCCATTTGATTTTACGCATAAGATCCTGCTGCTTCTGCGCCGCCGCCGCCCCGCTGCCCGCAAAATTTGAGGCAGAGGCCTTACTCCAGACCATAATCAAGTGTGGAAGAGTCATGCTTCGACACAAATGTTATACTTCATGCATGAATTGCGTGAAGTATCATTTTTACCGACTTCAAAAAAAGAAGGAGGTACTATGTTCGTTTGATTGTTTTTTTTTTTTGTTTCTTCGCGCAGTATTCCGCCATTTGTGAACCGATTTCATTCTTGTTTTGTTTGAATGGGTATACTCCCGAGATGGTCCCATTTCCATGACGTTAGGATCTGATGATGGGATCCTAGGGAAACCGAGGGGAACTTTCGAAAATTGTAAGAGTGAGTAATACGTCTATTATGTTTTTCAGTTAGGATTTTTAAACACTACAATTTGATAAGGGTCTAGAGATAGAACTCCTCAACTGTTTATACTAACTGCCTTGTGTTTGGGCTTGATTAATTTGTATTGATGAGGACTTTACACATAGATAGAGTGGAACTGTCATTAAGGGTCTGATAATGAAGTAGTGTAATTGTTAAGGGAACTCCTCAACGGTATACAGTAACTACCTTGTGTTTGGGTTTGGTTAATTTGTATTGATGAGGACTTTACACCTAGATAGAGTGGGACTGTCATTAGGGGTCTGATAATGAAGAAGTGTAATTGTTAAGGGAACTCTTCAACGGTTTATAGTAACTACCTTGTGTTTGGACTTGTAGAATTTGTATTGATTAGAACTTTGGACTCTCACTCTGCATTGGAGTGACAAAACAGATATATGTAGCTTTACACTGAAAATGATAAAATAATAAAATAAAAACTGCGTTTATGGCACCGACTTCTACCTCAGTGGGAGGGTAACTATCAGTACTAATGATAGTTATTTTTTTCATATTAATTTAGACTTTTTGTTTGTTATTACTTTTTGGTTTTTTGAAGTCCGTTTTTTAATTTGTTCTATCTGTCTGTTTGTATGTCTATTTGTACTAGCTAACCTCTGGAATGGCTGAACCGATTTTGAGGAATTTTAATGGCAGGTAACTGATGTACTGAGTACTACTGAGGAGTAACTTTAACATAGGTTACTTTTGAAATTCTAGAAAATTGAAACAAAAACAATGTCCAAAAATTCATGCTCTACGCGGACACAGTTGCGAGCAACAGTATTGCCTGCAATAACAGATCAGGGTATAATATAAAACTACAGATTTCAATAAAAATATCGTCATTTTATTATCACAATTTTCATTATCTTACGACTATATCATACAAAATATTTACAACATTAAATTATGCAATAATTTTACTTACAAACTAAAAGTGAGTGTACAAACAGTAGAAGATAATGATCATGGCGTCACACCAGAAAAGGGTAGGCAGAGACGGACATATTATGGTAGTTTCCTAAATTTTATTTTAATGTCCGTCTGATACAGTAATTTAAAACGTTAGACACGTATTTTTTCTTTTCTCACAAAATTAAATACTTTCGACAATATATTCATTTGAAATATCGTGTGACATCACAGTGTCAGTCAGTCACATTTTGTAGCACGTTATGACGTAACGACCTCCCACTCCTAAACTTAGCGCCATTTATCTAAGTATTGCAATTTAATACGAGAAAAAAAAAATACGTGTCTAATATTTTTTGATTATCTAACCGACGGACTAACTAGATATTATACCTGGAAACTATCCAATTATTACATGTAGCAATAATTTTACACAAGATGTGACTTTAGTACCTACATGTGACTCATAAATGAGATTCAGGGCCGTTACTTGTGCAAAATATACCTGTGCAAAAAGATATCAAGGAACAATTTTAAACAAATCACTTTTCAAAATTGTTTATGTGAGATGAGATGAGATATATGAGATGTCATTATGACTTTAATCTGTGAGATTCCATCCATTCACTTACAAAATTGAGGGCGTTAGATATTTTTTCTTTACTGATATTTACTTATGCAAAATGTACCTGTGCAAAATGATATCAAGGAACAGTTTAAAACAAATCAGTTTCCAAAATTCTTCAGTGATTTAAATTGGAGATTTCATTACAACTTTGACATACGAGATTCATTCCATTCACTTAAAAAAAATAGCCTCTCATTGACTTTTCATGAGTATTTCGGACACTTAACAAGTAATGGGTGATTACCTACTATCTACCGTTTTCATCTACACGTCTACCGGTACCACGGTAGGGTCATAGACTCCATTGGATTCCACCTTCCCTTCGTACACTATTTGTTGGAGCTGGTTCTCATAGCCGTGAGGACCTGACTGCTCCATCTTCTTTAATAGACTCCTTATTAGGATGATGAGGTAGATTTGGATGGCTGTAAAAAGATGAATAAGTTTAGTTCAGTGAGTTAGTCTTGTGACTAATAGCAACTTGCGATGCCGATTCTCGAAGAGACGAAAAGGGTTCGATTACGATTTGAATGGAAATTCTCAGTAGTAGCTGTTTCTTTCTATATAGCCTATAGTTTAAATGGAAATACTAATATGAGCGGGTTTTTTTTAAGGTTGGAAAATCATCGAACGACTTCTCCCGCCTGGGTGAGGTGGGAGTGTCAGACTCTTACTGACTGAAAACCAAGCACTTCGAGCCGGAGCCCCGGTAACCCGTTAAGTTTTCCGCGGCTCCGAATCGGCATCAGCCCTATTGGGCCCCATCCGTGGTGGAATATGAGCGGGTTAAAGTCATAATTTAAATATGCATGTACGTATGATACATCCGCATATATTTCAAACAAAAATTCTCTCAGTCAATGATTAACTTTATAAACTTGCTGATACTTACACATTGAGGCGAACATAAGAGGTAGAACCTCAAAAATCATGTACAATCCTGATCTGGTGCTGACGGCTATAGTGAAGTCTAAGATTTGCACGAGGCAGGACGCCACAGTCGTGGTCACGGCGAAGTAGTAGTATACCCTAATATACGTTATTAGTTTCTGCAACAAAGAAATAACATAATAGTTAGAACAAGTTTTGTTATTATGTAAGTACCTTACTAATAATATAAATTGCCAAGTATAAGTAAGTATATCCTCACTAGATCCGTATTATCCCAAAGGAAAACTAGGCAAGTGACTAGAGGCCAAATGGGTAGTTGCCGGGATAAAAAAATGTTAGACACGTATTTTTTATTTTCTTATATAAAGCTATTTACTAATATTTAGATAAAATAGCGTTAAGTTTAGGAGTGGGAAGTCATTACGTCAATACGTGCTGTAAAATGTGGCACGCTGTGACGTCACACGATATTTCAAATGAATATATTGTCGAAAGTATTGAATTTTGTGAGAAAAGAAAAAAACTAGACGGATATTAAAATAAAATTTAGGACACTACCGTAGAGGCGGGGTGCGTTAAAAAAGTTGGGGTGCCAAAACTGTGCTTGTCTATGGTGCTCTCTAAGCTTATACCACGTCTGATCCTAATTACTCCACTTACATTCAAAATATTTTTATTGCCTATGGCAAATAGCACTGCGCAATTAGTTGTCAATAGCGCAGCGATTACAGAAAGAATAATGCACCTTTACGTAAACAAATATAATTGAAGGACTCAATGAATCACAAAGACCGCATATCACACAAAATACCTATATTTTATATTAATATCCTCATTATCGTACCGACAAAGGAAAACTTGTGTTTACGACCTCTTTATTGCAATATGCTTGTCAACAATTGCCTATTGCTGGTAAAATGTCCGTACTATTGATAAAGCGGACTGACATGAGATGACGTCTGTTGTGGGCAACTGCTATTTACAGTACATCAGTTCTTGCGTCATCAAACCTGCATCTGGTCTAGTATAAAGTTCAAGTTCTTGTTAGCTACAAATGTGATTGTGGATTTTATGATAACCTAAGGCCCGGACTCCTCCAAAGTGGATACGATATACTATATAGGCGAAGTATCATAGTTTTTTTTTAAATAACCAATAATATTTCATTATTCTTACATTTCATTTTAACACTGAATTAATCTCTGTGAGATATTTAAAGCGAAAATTTGCTCAATTTTGAGTGTTAAGAGTGATTGCCTCGTCGGCCCAGTGGTCGCAAGTGCGACTTCCGGGCAAAGGGTCTCGAGTTTGATCCCGGGCTGTTTTACTGGGTACCGGGTTGTTTGAGAGGCAAAGTATTACATTAAAGGGTTTTTTTTAAATGCTCAGTAGTAGCACCGAGACTGGAATTGTGTCTGGAATCTCACCCCCTATTACATGGGACTCAGAATATAAATAGTGAAAAGTGGGTGTTACATTGTACAGTGGCATAATGTACACCTCTGTCTACCCCGTCCGGGATTAAAGGCGTGATGTTATGTTATGCTAAGAGTAAAACTCAAATAAGACTGAAATGATATATTTATTGAGTCAAAGAGCTTTAAAAACTTTACTTCATATTTTATTCAGAGTTTGTAAGATTGTTACTCAATGCAAAACTTCTGAATCATCAGTCATCATACACTAACAGCATTACATAGGTACAATAAGAGTCATCTAATGAATGCAGGTAAGGAAAACTGTTGGTTACCGGCATTCTTCGAAACCAACGGAGTAACTGGATAATTGGAATCATTCCCTACCTTGAAGAGACGGATCATGGTTAGGTAATGTTAGTTTTCCTTGCTCTTGATTAAAACGACCAAACTGTATTCTACTGACAGATAGTTTTAAATATGTGACTGTATGTAAATAATTATGTTTGTTTCGCTTTCACATAAGTAATGCTGGTCGAATCAGAATTAAATTTGGTACATGTAACATGGCAATGATCAAATTCAATACTTTTATTGAAATGTCAAAAACGATGCTTTTCTGCGTCAAGTAGCATACTTATTTCCATAAAATTTGCGAGAAGAAATACAAAAGTAGGTATATTGTGAAATCAATGGATGAGAGTATGATTATTTTTTAATTATTTATTGCATTGAAAAGTTGAAACAATTTATTTTAAACCTAGTACACTAGCTAATTTTGTAGCATAAATATTAGTAAAACGGAACGTACATAGGATATTGCACCTATAATTGGGATGATGACAGGCTATGAAAATTAAAAATATAATTAGTCCGTAAGTTAAGTAATGAAAAAATATTACACACGTATTTTTTATTTTGTCGTATAATAAAACAATACTAAAACGAATCAAAGTTTAGGAGTGGATGCTAAAACGTCATTTCTACGTATAAAATGTACATAGAAGTGACGTCACGCGACATTTTAAATCAATATATCGTCGAAGGTATTCGTATCTGTAAGAAAATAAAAAACACGTGCATAATGATTTAAAATAATCTACCAGACGGACATTAAAATAAAAATTAGGTATCTACCCTATTAAGTAGGTAAAGTAACAATAACATTGTCTTATGATTGCATACAAAATATAGGTACATAAGACATATACTACCTACTACTATAGATAAAGGAATTGATAACCTTTTAACATGTTATCACTTCCTACATAAATAATTAGCTAACGATACTCATAAGTCATAATCCTAATCATTTAATGGACCACCTACAATTAAAGTATTTACTTATCGGGTTACATTTCAAATTACTAGTTACACAACATTAAGGCGAACTTTCCACTAAGATACTGATATAGTCTGTGTTAGGACTTTCCATAGACTATGTCGTCATTATCGTCATCGATGTCGATTGTCATTGTCATCGCGCATTAAGAGCCCCTGTTTTATTTCGAAGCTAGTCGAGTAACTTCCCTGACAATAACGTTATTACCTTATTAACTCGTCGAGTACCGGTTTTGTAGACACAATTATAGAATAATAGGTTGCGGTCACCGGTGACCGCTTGGTGTTTGACAGTTTAATTTAGTAGGTATGTCTCACAGTAATTATTATTTATTTATTTAATAATAAAAGGTACAATGTATACGTTATAATTGTGTTTTGTCGTGTGAGTGAGGTTACCGGAGGCCCAATTACCCTCCCCTTCCCCAATCTCCTCAATTCCTGAATCCCCATCGATCCTTAAACTCCTAATCCCCGAAAGGCGGATAACGCACTTGTAACGCCTTTGGTGTTCCAGGTGTCCATGGGCGACGCCGATTGCTTACCATCAGGTGATCCGTTTGGTCGTTTACCGGGTGGCATACCATAAAAAAACGCCATGTCCAACAAAACTGTACATACATAAATAGTTTGACTGTTGGATCTTTTACATTTGTACAACTATGGTAGTGTGCTAAACAGATATTTTGTTTAATTTAATCTTAAATTCATTTTCATTGTTCTCTTCCCTGACTTCGTTTGGCAAATGGTTGAGTAAGTACGGGATACACATTTTGATTGATAGACCACCAAACATTATTAACCCTTTAAACATTATTCAAAATCACTCTCACACACACATATTATTAGGAGACACGAGGCAGTGAATCTAAAATTATAACATCATAACATCACGCCTTTTATCCTCGAAGGGGTAGGCAGAGGTGCACATTACGGCATTTAATGCCACTGTACAATGTAACACCCACTTTTCACTATTTATGTTATGAGTCCCATGTAATAGGGGGTGAGCTTATTGCCATATACCGGGCACAGTTCCAGACTCCGTGCTACAACTATCAAATTTTTTTTTAATTACCCCGTAATACTTTGCCCGCCAGTCGCACTTGCGACCACTCGGCCAACGAGGCAGTTTCTAAAATTGTGTCTGACAATTCGAACCTTGATAATGTTCCAAAGATTTCGGAAATTTCTAAACTGGTAAGCTTTGCGAGTCAAAGTATTGACTCTATGTCACAGAGTCGTGAACTTGATCCCCAACTATTTATGTACCTAGTTCATTCAGTACGTTCGTAAATTGTTGTTTCGAATAGATGCGTGGTACTTGATATTAATGTAAGTTTTTTATTAAGACACGTTTTTTATAGTAACTATCGTGAGACATACTAAATTAACTAAAAATCGCGAGTTACTCACGTGAATATACTGAGAAAAACGCTAGTTCCAAGCCACTGAGAGGCTTCTCTGTGCACGCCTCTCGCTTTGTGCGTGCCTCTGCGCATGCTGCTCATAAGAGCAGCGTGCGGGGTCGCGGCGATGCTGGCTGCGCGACAGTACCCCGCGATTTTTAGTTAATTTAAATAAATAGTGTTACATAAAAGATGTTAGGACATCTTACCTTATGTGTTCCATATAATAAAATAGCAGTGAAGATTATTTCTACACAGTAGATGAAGACACACGCTCCTTCAGGCACAGACGCTCCCACGGTCGTCCCATGGTATACCGCGAACAAACCGAATTCTGTGTGCACTGAGTAACTGTACACTCCCACCATAAACGCACTGAATATCTGCAATAGACAAACAGAATTGTATTTAAATTACATAGTCATAAAGTTTACTGCCTCGTTGGCCGAGTGGTCGCAAGTGCGACTGCCGGGCAAGAGGTGTCGGGGTCGATTCCTGGGTTGGGCAAATTATTACTGGGTTTTTTAAAAATTTTGAGTAGTAGCACAGAGTCTGCAATTATGCCCGGGGCAAGGGTCGTCGGGGTCGATTCCTGGGTTGGGCAAAGTACTACTGGGTTTAAAAAATTCTCAGTAGTAGTCCGGAGTCTGTAATTGTGTCCGGTATATGGCAATAGGCTCACCGACTATTACATGGGACTCCTAACATAAATAGTGAAAAGTGGGCGTTACATTGTACAGTGTAATCAAGTGCACCTTTGTCTACGGGGATAAAAGGCGTGATGTTATGATAAGTGAGTGAGTTAATAAAGTTTACTACAGTTTTTAAGATGTTATAAATAGAAGGTTCTTAGGTAGGATAAAGCTCAGCTAGATCTTTATTTTTATAGAATTGCAAACGAGCTTAATGATCGCCTAACGCTAAGTGATTAGCGCCCAACCCATGAAGACGCTCAACTCCAGATTATAGTAGCTACAAGTGCACTGGAATTGAAAACGTTTCCAGAAACCCTCACCCTTCATATCTTTGAGGGACTGGGACTGGTCAGCTCCAGAACGTATTTTTTACTGTCCTTTATGTTTTTTTTATCGATCTCTTTGACTGGATTTTGGTGTTACATTGTTCTCGCACAGTCCAAACAACAAAACTATGTAACTAGAGAATTGTATTGTGAACCTGATTGAAAAAGAGTAACCTATGGAGTTTCTTGCTTGTTCTTCTCCATAGGAATCTACTCTTTGGAATGAGCAAATAGCTTCACTATTAATTTTTTGTTGACGTTCAAAAGTGTCTTTCTGGTCTAATTGAAACAAATGATTTTGACTTTGACTTTGAGGGTCATATCGGTTCAAAAATTGTCTAGGGATTTTTATTGACTATATGTATAAAGTAAGTACCTAATGAAGATGAAGACCCTCTTTTTGTAAACGAAACCTATCTAGACAAAAATGTAAAGCTGTAGATAGAAGCTACACTATGATGAACATGAACTCGCTTCTCTGGTAATAGGGTAGTTTCCTAAATTTTATTTTAATGTCCGTCTGGTACATTAATTTAAAACTTTAGACACGTATTTTTTCTTTTCTTACAACATTATATACTTTCGACGATATATTTTTTTAAGGGGGGAAAATCATCGAATGACTGCTCCCGCCTGGGTGGGGCGGGAGGGAATATCAGACTCTTACTGACTAAAAACCAGCCCGTGCCTTCTCCTGCACGTCGAGCCGGGGCCCCAGTTACCCGTTAGGTTCTCCGCGACTACGATATATTGATTTGAAATATCATTACGCCTTACGTTATAGCGTAACGATCTCCCACTTCTAAACTTAGCGCCATTTTATCTAGGTATTGCAACTTACTACGTGAAAATAAAAAAAATACGAGTCTAACAATTTTTCATTATCTAACAGACGGACTAATTACATTTTTAATTTTGATATCCTGGAAACTACACTATCGTTCTAGACATTTTAACTATTTTAGCCGAAGTGGCCTACCTATGACTGTAACACTTTTGTTCTACACAATATCATAACAGGATGGTCAAAAATATTGTTTCAAATATAAACAAATTACGGTCGAGGTTGAAAACAATATACTACGAATTAATACCTACCTTCGTTTATTTGACGTAATGAGGAAATGAGCGTAAATGTGCACTGTGTAGTATGTAGTATGAACTAAGTATTTGTTTGTAGAAATTTGTATAGGTACTTAGTGTTTTTTTTTTAATTTGGTAGGTAAAACTGAAATAGGGCTCTTTCTTATAAAAATGAGGAAAACAATTCGCTATTTAGAAACGTATAAGGCTGCCTCATTGGCCGAATGGTCGCAAGTGCGACTTCCACTTTGTCTTTAGAATTTAAAATGTATAGGGGGAAGTCCCGTAACGCCGGACGGCACCTAACGCCGACGCCTGTATTATCTCGATAAGTAATAACAGGAGCGATTCAATTTTTACTAAAAATCTTAGGTGACTGCAACTGGGAGACTTCCCCCTAAAACACAGGCCGTGACCTTAAAGTGAGCAGTGATTTCTTATGTGTACTGTAACGCCATCTCTTGACGCTCCATAGAACTAAAAGTAGACAGATTAACTTTCTGAAGAGTTTCTTTCCACTATAAGTTTAAAAAAAAGAAAGTTTGTTTGTTCAAAATTAATTGTTCTTAACCTTTTTTTAAATGGAAATTATTACATTATTATTACTATAAAAATTGAATCGCTCGCGTTATTAGTTATAGAGATAATACAAGCGTACGGCGTTAGGTGCCGTCCGGCGTTAAGGGACTTCCCCTTACGTAATAATTAACTGGGTATCAAAGCTTTCTTTATCAACAATGCTTACAATGAGCCACCCACCTGATGATAAACAGTCATCGTCGTTGATATTCTGTTCACGTCTTTGCAATTTTTAGACTTTTAGATAGATGAAAACACGCCTTTAATACCCGAAGGGGTAGGCAGAGGTGCACATTACGGCACTTAATGGTGATGTAGGTAACACCAAAGTTTCACTATTTATGTTAGGAGTTCCATGTAATAGGGGGTGAGCCTAATGTCATATACCGGGCACATTTCAAGACTCCGTGCTACTCTACTACCGAGAATTATTTAAAAAAACCAGTAATACTTTGCCCGACCCGGGAATCGAACGCGAGACCCCTTGCCTGGCAGTCGTACTTGCGATCACTCGGCCAGCGAGGCAGTCCTAGGTGAGTACTTTATTATGTACTAAATAATTTTTAAAAGGGGGTTTTATTAAAATAATTTGTGTGTTTTCTTTTCCTATGATGTCAGTAGTTACTTTCCGAAAAAGCTATCCAAACCGGTGTGTTTTCTCAACTCATATTCTTGTAACCGATCAGAAATCAAACCTAGGACTCTATGTTCCGTAGAATACTAACGAGACACTGGCAATTTAGTTAAATGACATGTTTATCATTGTTTGGTCTACAGGCCGTGACCTTAAAGTGAGCAGCAACTTCTTACGAGTACTGTAACGCCATCTCTTGACGCTTCATAGAACTAAAAGTACACAAATTAACTTTCTGAAGAGTTTCTTTCCACTATAAGTTTAAACAAAAGAAAGTTTGTTTGTTCAAAATTAATTGTTCTTAACCTTTTTTTAAATGGAAATGATTACATAATTATCACGATAATATGTCACCAAATATAAATATTTTCACGTAAAAGTGACGCAATACCTACGGTTAATTTTTACGATTCCAGATACGAACGATACAGAACAACAGATACGGTTGGCGTAAATTGTACACAATTAGTTACATCCGCGAATATCACACGGGTATTTCTTACAAAAGATCGACAGGGAGAAGTCTATAGAAGGACCTTTTTGTTAAATATGTTACTAAACAAGAGATTAACCTACGATACACCAGAAACTATTCCAAACTCCACAACAACAATCAGGATTGTAGTGAAACCACCCATAAAATCACAATTTATCCACATTTTCTAGGTTAAAACTATCACAAAACAAAAAATAAAGATGATAAAAATATTACTTACTAAATTAATGTATCCGAAAGTGAGAATTCCTCGTCTTAACGGCATGCAAAAGCAACACCGCCCCAAAGTTGGCCAGTCACAATACATTTTTGAAAATGGAACTATTACTTTTTAAACTAAACTTTTTTTTCGTAGCGCTGGATACACGCGCGTTGTCCCGACTGCCAGTTAGGACTGATGATTCAAACCTATTTGTCGACGTACTTATCTAATGGAGATGTCTGCCTACAGCCGGACATCTGACCCGCTGGTGAACTGTATAACGAAGTGCGTTGCAATTTATTTGTTTGTTTTTTTGTGTTTTTTTTTTAATTAGCAGTTTTAGGATTCCGTTTTGTTTTCATTGCTAGTTTGAGTTTAGATTTTTAAGCTAAGTCAAAGAACACTTTTTGACTAATCTTAAAACTTGACGATCATCATTTTCAAGGTCTTGATATTCTCTATTAAAAAGAACTAACTCTATTAAAATTTCTTACGTTCAAAAGCGCTAGAGTCGCTAACTCAGTCAGTATCTGTACGTACTGCATTGAAACTTGTGTAATGTACCTAACATTTCTTGAAACACGTTCAGTTTTCAGTAGAAACCCACAAACCAAAAAATGCCACATGCAGTATTCTGAATCAGTACGATCGCTAAACTGCATATGATGGAAACTCCTTACAGAGTCCCGAGAACAAATTTAACTCTATTCCCATGGCATAAGGGTGTAAATAACTTGTAAACAGTATTAAACTATTTACTAACCCGATGTTGATAATTTTGATAACGATTTGACCTCTTGGAAATCATTATCTCACGCCAATGTTAATATAATGCGAAACAAAACAAATGGATTTTGTACATTGCCCGTTTTGTTCTAACACTCATTGAACCTTGTCATACTAATGAGTCAATGTATTTTGTGTTTACTTTTTACATCATTAAAGTGTTAATGAAATTCTGAGAATCTCCTATTTGTCCGGACTTCCATATTTATTGTTTTGTATTAAATATTTTTATGTAGAAACTTAGTTCGGTGTTTGTGTAGTTAATTTAGTTCGGTGACAGAACAATAATATTTATGTTGGGTTTTTGTTAGGTACCTATTTTTGTTATTTCCATGTTTTTATTATGTAAGCAAATAGGTTCTTGAAATTAATTTATTCGTTATTATCTATTTAGTACAAAAAGGGGCGGGTGGTGAATAATACGACTGTAGTTGTAAATAAAGAAATATACTGTACCTACTTTTACAAATTATACTCGATCATTGACTACAGCTACAATGGACCCGTAAATATTACGCAAATATTCAAAGAAATGCATTAGATAAGTGCATTCATCATCATCATCAACAGCCTATAAATGCCCACTGCTGAGCAAAGCCTCTTCCCAGACGGAGAAGGTTTGAGCATTAATCACCACGCTTGCTCAATGCGGGTTGGCGATTACAAACTTATACATATTTAGAAATTATAAGCCCAGGTTTCCTCACGATGTTTTCCTTCACCGTTTGTCAGTGGTGTCTAGATAATCTTAGAAAGTACCTACATACTACATATAACTCGAAAAAAGTCACATTGGTACTTGCCGCTAGTAGGTTTCGAACCCGCACCCTCATGCATGAGAAGCGGGCGTCTTAAACCTCTGGGCCATCACGATAAGTGCATTGGATAACGCGTATTCTTTTGATAAATGGAAAATACCAAGGAAGTGTGCGATAGTCTAACCATTTCACTCACTTACCTAGTACCTAATTTGCCCTTAGGTATAATAAGAGACCATATTACATAATGCAAGTAGGTACATACATAATTATGTACCTCTATCATCGTGATCTCTCGAGACACTCGACTGCGGGACAAAAGGATTTATTTTGGGGGTGAAAATCACCCAATGACTTCTCACTTATGTGAAGCGAAAGACTCTTACTGACTAAAAACCATATCGTTCCTTCTCCTGCACTTCGAGCCGGAGCCCCGGCAACCTGCTAGGTTGTTCGTAACTCCGGAAGAAACAAAATATGTGACGTCATTACTTTATCATAAAGACAAGATTGGCATTCAAGAAAAATTCGATTCTACCATTCCTACGTTATCTTCGTTACATTACAATAGTACAATAACATTTTTTTTTATTGCATAAGCCGGTAAACGAGCCGACGGATCACCTGATGGTAAGCAATCGGCGTCGCCCATGGACACCTGGAACACCAGAGGCGTTACAAGTGCGTCATCGGCCTTCTGGGGATTAGGAGTTTGAGGATCGATGGGATTGTGGAGAGTGGATATTGGGGAAGGGGAGGGTAATTAGGCCTCCGGTAACCTCACTCACACGACAAAACACAACCCAAGCGTTGCTTCACGTCGGTTTTCTGTGAGGCCGTGGTATGACTCCGGTCGAGCCGGCCCATTCGTGCCTAAGCATGGCTCTCCCACACTTATAATAACAAGTATTTTGGAACATGGAGAAAGATAACAAAATTAAATAGATAGTAGGTACCTAGGTACTTATTTTAGGTAAGACAGGATACGAAACGAACAGTCATCGCTTTATCTAAAATTGCGTTGATTCATAAAATTCCCGACTGGAACAAAAATATCCTCCCTTCCAGGATTAATACAAAGTCCATTCTGATAACGGAACTGACTAAAGTAAGTGGCCAGCAAGTTAAACTATACTTTTAAGTCTGTGTATTAGATTTTCAACTTTAAAGTTTTGGAATAAAGTCGAAAATTGATGAAATGAAGTGCTTGCCACAGAATCGTAAGCGTAGTGATGTAGCTTCGATGTGCATTTTCTATCGCTTTTACCACGGGCAGTGCTTTGAGGAATTGTTTGATCTGATACTTGCCGCGTCTTTTCTGCTTCGCTTTCTGCCTCGCACAGCGAAACTGTGAAATGAACTGGTCATCGGCGGTATTTCTGAACCGATACGACCTTCAAACCTTCAAGAAGAGAAGGTATTCCTTTTTAAAAGGCCGGCAACGCACCTGTGGCTCCTCTGGTGTTACTGGTGTCCATGGGCGCCGCTGATCGCTTACCATCAAGTGATCCATATGCTCGTTTGCCTCCTATTCCATAAAAAACACAAAGATTTGTTCTGTGCGAGAATTGAACCACATTGCGCGGCAGCCGGTTGTGCGCCAACCGTGCAGTCATTGCAAGAAATAAGTATTTAACATAGGCTGTAAACTATAGTTTTCAAAGACGCACCATATCATAAAAAAGTTAGAACATAAAGCGTCAAAGACATGTCAAAGATAGTAATGACAATTTGATAGTGATTATTTTGATTGAAACCCGATTGTTTGTTTATAAAATTGTGAATGTATTTTATTTGATTAACTTACCTACCTACTTATATTAGTAAATGTGCATCGATCTCAATGTTAATTTACCGACGTTGGTGTCTTTTCTACTTTTATATTCTTTGAAAACTGGATGCATTGTTATATTAATATGGACTTTGGTAAATACTTTCAGAATCACTATCTTCTGCCAGCGGCCTCGCGGCATTTTCAGGACTAAAATTGTTGTTTCCATTCTCCATGTGTTGTAATCTATCTCTAAACCAAATATCATCCAAATCCATACAGTAGATTTTGTGTGGAAGTAATAAACACACATCCATACATACATCCTCACAAACTTTCGTATATATAATATCAGTTTTTTTTTTAAGGGGGGATATCATCGAATGACTGCTCCCGCCTGGGTGAGGCGGGAGGGAGTGTCAGACTCTTACTGACTAAAAACCACCCCGTTCCTTCTCCTGCACATCGAGCCGGAGCCCCGGTTACCCGTTAGGTTCTCCGCGACATATATAATATCAGTAGGATTTAAATTTTATAACTTAGTACGTGCTAGACTGTTCTACAAGCTTCTACCAGAGGGATGAGCAAGGAAATGTCACTTAACTTTGTCTGGTTATTTTTCTATCGCCGTCATACTACTACAGCTACATACGAAACTAGAAATACAACAAAATAAACTTCATTCACGTCATGTTGACTGACATACCTTTACGTTATGAGAAACTAACGGGTAACCGGGGCTCCGGCTCGACGTGCAGAAGGAACGGGGTGGTTTTTTAGTCAGTAAGAGTCTGACACTCCTCGTCGATGATTTTCCCCCCTTAAAAAAAAGACCACCAACGCCCAAGAAGCGTTCACTGTTGCAATTATTGCTAAAACTTAGATATTATGGTAGTTTCCTAAATTTTATTTTAATGTCCGTCTGATACATTAATTTAAAACATTAGACACATATTTTTTCTTTTCTCACAAAATTAAATACTTTCGACGATATATTCATTTGAAATATCGTGTGACGTCACAGCGTGCTACATTTTACAACACGTTGTGACGTAACGACCTCCCACTTCTAAACTTAACGCCATTTTAAAGTAATGTAAGTAGTTTTATGCAAGAAAATTAAAAAAAATCGTGTCTTATATTTTTTCATTATCTGAAGGACTAATTAGATTTTTAATTTTCTTACCCTGGCAACTACCCAATTGTGGAGTACCTATGTAGACTGAGCATAGCAAGATACTAATCATTATCATTGTATTTTCAATTTTCAGTTACGATCCCTTTCCTTGCTAATATTCTTCATCCTTGCGATGGTGGATACCTTCCTGCCAGTCTCCTTGCCTCTAACAGCCATGCTCATGGCGAAGAGACCACCAGACGATGACCACTACTTTCCCGTGTTCACTGGCCACCTTATAATGATTATTACTGAGAGCTTTCTTTTTATTTTCTCAATAGTTTTGGGTTCAGGATTGTACTCTGTAAGTATCTTTTTTTTTAATACTTCCGTAAGATATACTTACTAAATTAAATATAATTTAGTCAAAGGAACTATTAGAGAAAACTCTACTAAAGTTGGCTGCGCGATGTCACCAAACCGCGCATGCTACTCATGAGTCCCGAAGATTTGAAGATTCCCCGTTCGCCGCTCTGATTGGCCGGCTCCAATGAACCAACCAATCAGAGCCCCGAACGCTGTCTCGCTTCGATTACTTTAAACGTAAAACAAACTCGTAGGTACTAAGGGCCCCGATATAACTTGAAACTAGTAGAGACTTCACACTAGTAGAGTATTTGCTCCGCTTCTTAAAAGCCTGCCTATTATTTATTTATGTATCTCTAACAGTTTGTTAAACCCAAAAATCTCGCTAGCGACCTGAACTGTTGCCAGAGTCCCTCGACGGAGTCGACTCGCCCAAAGAAGAAGTCCAAAGAAATCATTGGATTCTTGGATTGAGATCCAAATAAAACATCCCATAAGTACATGCTTCTGAGTCCTAGCCCAGTTTGGAAGTGTTAACATCCTTATAATTAGCAATAACTTGTTTTATTTCAGCGCAATCCGTTCCGCATAGGCCAATACGTAGTATGCAGGTTCTTCTGTTGGATAAGTGAGACAACCTTCCTGTCCATGCTCTGTATCGTTCACCTGCATCTCATCGGCTGGTACTTAGTGTTTCTCATGGTTATCAGTAAGTCTGCAAAGTTTTACAGATTCCCATAATAGATTTTTTACTTTATACTTTTGGGATAGCGTCGAAAATCTATTAAAGGAATTTGGTAGTTTGGTGTGATGTTCTACAATTCTACATGAATTTAAGGACTTGCTTTTGGTGCTTGATAACTAACTTTGCCCCAGTACCTACTGTTTTATTTGTGACTCTAAAGTCTATCATCATCACCATAAAGATCATTTTCTACTAACACAAATTTCTTTCCAGTTTTAGAGTTCTACAACTTCATCGTGGTCTACAGTTACTACATGGACTTGATGGAAGAATTTCAGGAAAGAGAACAGGAGGAAAGACAAAAAGAAAAAGCTAAATTTATAGCAGCAGTTACAGCTAGACCTGATTGTGAACTTGGTCTAAATGAGGTCCGTGTCGGTCGTGACTCTAAGGCCCCAAACGGCAAAGAAATGTTGTGCACAACTTTATAGTGATAGCAATCAAGTGACAAAGATAGCTTCGGTCGTTAAATGTGATAATTCTGTAAAGGTTTATTGTTTGTGATTATTATTCAGATAGGTATTATATTAGTAAAGGAATTTAGCAGATTTTTTTAGTTTTTTGTTTGTATCCTGTAGGTACCTAATTGAAATTGTTGATATCCAAATTAATTGGACTCTTTTCAAGGAGGTTATTCGACTAGTTTCAATTCAAGACACGATAGGGGCTTAGAATAGTTCTGTTCCTAATGATCGTGGTATCCATTTATACATATATATATATATAATAAAATAGTAGAAAAGTCAAAACTGTACATCGAATATTTTTTTAAAGGATACTTGTAGCTCTATAGTCGATACTGAAGCCAAAAATATGGTTTTTAGAATTTTTGTATGTATGTATGTCCGAGATGATCTCAATAAGTACTGCATGGATTTACTTCACATTTTGTATGATTGTTACTAATAGTTCGGGTCATAGCGCACTAGGTCACTATTCCACCCGAAGCCGCAGGCACAGCTAGTAATGAATACCTATTTACCTATCTATGTAGATAGTTACCATCGACTAACACAGAGATAGACAAATGGACTAGGTATAGGTAATATAGAGTACAGACAGGTGAAATGCATTACAGTAAAGAATTACAATGCCTTAGCTCCATTTACTGATAATGCCTAAGTACCTTTTTACATGGCGTTTTAAATTAGAGCAAACTTACTATGGAATCTTAGATATCGACTGGATTTTCATAATAATCTAAAAACACACCTAAATAATTAACGTTGATTGTAACGAAATAGTTTATTTACTTATGGTTCATTGGTCACTTGTTATCGACAACGCCCTTTGCTATCTGATAGGTAACTGATAAAATTGTGGCTAAAGAATAATCCGACACTACGTACACGTTGGTACGTGTTCAAAGCATTGTTTTTGTGACATTTTTGCTATTTCTTTTCTCGAAATTAAGTCAATATTACTTTTGAAAAATATTGTGTTATTTACGTACCTGAATAAGTTATTGTTTTGTTGTGTTAAAAATAAACAAACATGGTGTTCGAACTTCCAAGATACAATAAATGTTGTTATTGCATACCGCTGAAAATCGGCGTGTTGCTCATTGGATATTTTTCTATTGTAAGTATTGAATATTTCTCAATTTTTTGAATTAATCATTTATTTTAAAGATTATTTATAGCGCCTGCTAGTTTTGAATAGCAATAATTAACAGAAATACATAAATAAATTTCTTTAATCGTATAGGAGTTTTATATTCATTTTTATTTATTATGTATTTTATTTCTTTTACAGTTTATGTCCTGCATGACCTTAGCTACAGTTTCATGGTCAATCTTCAGAGTTACAAAATTCGTAGAGAATAATGAAAATAAACCAAATCCCGAACATTCACCAACTGAAGTCAAGAAAGTGGCTTTGGGCCTGTATTTGTCGTTTGCGTACTATTTGTTAGTGTTCCTGATCAATCTTGCTATTAATATCGTTTTAATTATTGGAGCACATAGGGTAAGTAACCTTATACACCTAAATAATACTTAATGAACTAAAAATCACGGGGTAGTTACTCACCTGAAAATATTGAGAAAAGCTAAATTATAGACTAACAAGTAGACTACTTAGTTTCACGTGAGTACCCCGCGATTTTTAGTTAATTTAATATATCTCACGATAGTTATTAAAAATACCTCTAATACTTAACATCATTTCATTTTGGCTAAAGTAAAGAAAGGACGGATGGACTGCCTCGTTGGCCGAGTGGTCGTAAGTGCGACTGCCGGGCAAGGGGTCGCGGGTTCGATTCCCGGGTTGGGCAAAGTATTACTGGGTTTTTAAATACTCTCAGTAGTAGCACGGAGTCTGAAATTGTGCCCGGTATATGGCAATAGGCTCACCCCCTATTACATGGGACTCATAACATAAGTAGTGAAAAGTGGGTGTTATATTGTATAGTGGTATAATGTGCACCTCTGCCTACCCCTTCGGGGATAATAGGCGTGATATTATGATGTTATGATAAAGAAAGAAAAAACTTTGTTTCACATGCTAAAAACAGGTGACTTTTTTAATATTCCTATACTATATGTGGGTGACACATACAGATTATAGTGTTGTTTATAGATATTAATACCTACTAATGGGTGCATAAATCATGTCCTAAGTCTGCAGTGACACTCCCTCCCGCCTCACCCAGACGGGAGGAGTCATTCGATGATTTTCACCCCTTAAAAAAAAAAGTCTGCAGTGAAATCTGATCAGTTCAGTATATGCAAGACAAGGCCTTGCGCTTGTATTCTACATAAAGTCCGAAAATAATCCTAAATATTAAATAGATTTTTAGAATTAACTCGTCGAGTACCGTCATTATAGACACAATTATAGAACAATAGGTTGCGGTCACCGGTGTCCTCGCGGTGTTTGACAGTTCAAGGTTGATTTTAGAGTTTCAATAAAAATCCTAGATGGATCCAAATATTAACTTCTTAATCCACGATTATGAAAAATCCATAATAATAATTGTTCATACAAAAGTAGTCTTTAAACATCGGGAATAAGGTCTATAACAGACTAGGTGGAGAACACCGGTGACTATTTCGGGACTCGGCTGTATTCTGAATTGAGACGGGTTACCTATTAATACCAGCCTAGCTGTGAGGTATCCTTTGCTAACTTTCGTCGGTACAAGAAAGAAAGAAAAAGCATTTATTAGACAGTTGGCACGCACGCAGATACAAAAAAAAATACAAAATTAAAAAAGAAAAGAAGAAATAAATACACATATTTATATAGGTATAGAAAAAAAACAAAGAAATATTATTTTTATCATATTATTATGAGTCTACCATGCATTCCCTAGTACCTACCTAGGTATAAATAGGCATAGGTAACGACCCCTCGTTAAAACCAACGTCTTATACCTTCATAATAATTCATCAAAGAAAATACCACATTGCATATGAACCAGTGCAGTGGCGTCATTACATTCAAGCTGGAAGGGGCCCCTGTTCAGAGATTCTTATCTGAACTTCTCTCTTTTTAAAGGGAAGAGAGTGCCCATCCGATGAATTGAATGGCATTATTACGCCTCTGATACTAACGTACAATGAAGTTTTAAAGACTGTTGAATGATACCAAATAACAATGGTCTTCTTCATGCTATTTATTGGAAAGGTTCATGAGTTATGACATCAGCCTCATTTAGTCATAATCAGATGACGACGAAATGTCGTTTCTGTATTCGACATCCGCAATGTTTCTTCTATGAATTTGTATCATCGTAAATCATATGTACAGTGAGCAGCAGGCAATCTACTCTTTTCTGTCAATTTTCTTTATTCGATTTTCAACTCTATTGTTACGGTATGAAGTCGAAAATACAATTACAAAAATTGATGCGTTGGAGTAGGTTCATGCGCTGGCCACAATACTACGTAAAACGTATATCACTTTACTAAAGAACATGACCTAGCCTAAATTGTCACCGGAACTAAGATCTTGAATCACCTATTTATGTGAATTACGTATTACTCACAAAATAAAAATGATATATACCTATCTCTCCTATCTTTAGCGGCACTTGACCGAAAATATTCACAAAATATTTTACTCTGTGGTAATAAGAATGAACCAATGATAAGATTAATCTTAATCTTGTTTTGACTGTGTTGTTGTTAGGCTGGCTGAGCTATATTTACCTACTCAACATTTATCAAGCTTCAGATAATAGAAGAGTAAGTAAGTCGTATAGGTCCATACCCAGGTATTATATCACCCAGGGACGTATTTATACCGTCCGAGGTCCGTGGCAAAATCCCAGCAAAAAACACTAAACTCTGAACGGAACCTCTCCAACTCGGCTCGTGGTATTTTGCCAACTTGCCACCCTGTAGTAACACCACGCTGATACCACCACAGCACTTACCGAATCATCCCTCATCACCAGGCGTCGGCAGGCAGGCCAATGGTCAAACGTCAGCCCATTAAATATAAAAAAAAAACTATTAAAAACATTTAAATGTGTTTAGTATATTTATGGATATCACTATTATCACTCCTTTTCCGTGGGTGTCATAACAGCCAGTGACCAGTGCCTTCTTCTGATAAACCTGAATCTTTTATACTGAGACCTCTTATTAGCCTACCAAGTGCCAAGTGGAGAATCTCGTATCGTCGATGACTATCATCGCCTGTTGCGAGCGGATTCCCCGAGACTGGTTCAAACCTATTATTATTTTTTTACAGGAAAAGCCGAATTACTTAAGGTTCTACTTCCGAGCGACGTTACTGATGTTCTGCCTGAGTTTAGTATTGGTTATTGTGACATTTGTATTTATGGGATTTTTAGCCACACTGCCCATACTCAAGTGGTCTTGTAAGTATCTCAAAAATCTTCTTTATTTTGCTTGATAGGCAGAAGCATACTAAAGTAATATTTAGGGAATATTCACTACTTTAGTTAATTAGTTTGTTGTTTTTACTGAACTGTCACATTTTGAGTTGAGTGTGGGAGAGCCATGCTTCGGCACGAATGGGCTCGACCGGAGTGATAATACCACGGCCTCACAGAAAACCGACGTGAAGCAACGCTTGCGTTGTTTCGTCGTATGAGTGAGGTTACCGGAGGCCCAATTATCCTCCCCTTCCCCAATCTCCCCAATTCCTGAATCCCCAACGATCCTCAAATACCTAATCCCCAAAAGGCCGGTAACGTACTTGTAACGCCTCTGGTGTTCCAGGTGTCCATGGGCGACGCCGATTACTTACCATCAGGTAGGTATACGTCGTCGGCTCGTTTACCGGCCAATGTCATAAAAAAATTTGGATGGAAAACCTATGTCCATAACTTACCAAAGTTTTTGAAAAATGATATTTTTGTAAATATGTCAGAAATCCACTATAACTAGATAGTATATTATAATGTAACCACATGCTATTTCGTTTTTTTTTAAACGAAAAAAAATAATTTTGTTTGATCTGGGAATCTAACAGCATCTACCTACTTAGTCACACACTACTGCACTCGACTCTCGATCAAAACGAGGCAGTTAATTACATTTTTATGTATTTTTATTGCAGTAACTCTACTCGTGGTCATGATCATAGTAAGAAGTTATTATCTGGTCCTGGAAGACAGACAGAAGCAGCCAGTCTATGAACTGCAGCCTTACGTTCCTGTACAACAAGCTCCTCTGGTGGTTTAATGATAGACTTCTCATTTTTGTATTTTATAAT